TCTTCTTTTAAAGAACCCAAAAAGCTAGAGCTTAGATATTTAGCATGAACATCTTCTAGTGAGTGTCTACCAAGTTTGTTCAAATTAAAGCCCTGGGGTCAAAAATTGGCCCGCCCCAGGGGTCATTGATTTTCCCTATATGCATATAGTAAAAACTTAAAAGATCTTCTTTTAAAGAACTCAAAGAGCTAGAGCGAAGATATTTAGCATGAAACATGTTCTAATGGGTGTCTACCAAGTTTGTTCAAATAAAAGCCCTTGGGTCAAAATTGGCCCCGCCCCGGGGGTCATTGATTTTCCTTATATGTGTATAGCAAAAACTTTAAAAAAATCTTCTTTGAAAAGAACTCAAATAGCTAGAGTTTAGATATTAAGCGTGAAACATCTTCTAGTGAGTGTCTACAAAGTTTGTTCAAATAAAAGCTCTGGGGTCAAAATTGGCCCCGCTCCGGGGGTCTTTAATTTTCCTTATATGTGTATAGCAAAAATTTAAAAATCTTCTTTGATAAAACCCAACTAGCTACAGTTTAGATATTAAGCACGAAACATCTTCTAGTAAGTGTCTACAAAGTTTGTTCAAATAAAAGCCCTGGGTCAAAACTGGCCCCGCCCCAGGGGTATCATTGTTTTTAACTATATGTGTAAACATCTTCTTTAAAAAAAACCAATGAGCTAGAACTTTGATGTTAAGCATGAAACATCTTCTTATAGTTGTCTACCAAGTTTGTACAAATAAAAGCCCTTGGGTTAAAATTGGCCCTGCCGGGGTTTTTCATTATATGTGTGAAGTAAAAATTTAACATCATGAAACATCTTCTAATGGGTGTCTTCCAAGTTTGTTCAAATAAAAGCCCTGGTGTTTAAACTGGCCTCGCTCCGGGGGCCTATATACAGGTGAGCGACCTCAGGGCCATCATGGCCCTCTTGTTTTACAGTGTAGTAGAATTCTTATCCCTCCATAATTCTTAGTTTACCTGAGTACCAACGGTTCAGGGAAAGCTATAAGTATGGGATGCTCCATCATTGTTTCCCTTCCATCAACATTCATCTTCTCTGAAACTACATGTATACTGGCCAGATTTACTTCAGATTTGGTGTCTAACATCCAGTTTTCAAATATATATATGTCAAAGTTTTTGTATGTGTGATTTTAAAGGCGTTCAAAAGTGGGTCATATCCTTTTCGAATTTTGCTAAATCATGTCAAGAGATGTTCAGTAAGTTTTTTTTCTCAGGAGCATTCAAGTGCGGGTTATCTCCCATTCGTTCTGGTTTTGCTTCAAAAAATTTATCAAAATATCAACAACAAAAAATCTTAAGAGGAAAATTTTTTCATTAACAAAGGTGATCATGAAATTATTTTTTTTATTATGATAAACTCATGAGCAAGACACAATTATATGTAACACGCCTTTATTCGTACAACATGATACAGTGTGTACATGATTTAGAGGACTCGATAATTATCATAATCTCAAATCCAAAAGAAATGGTAGTATTTAAGGTAAATTCTGTTATCATATAATGTACAAGCCGGTATGGGTACGTACTTCGTCATGTATATAAACATTATCTTATATGTGATAAAATTTGAATTGAGGATTGGATAGGGGGTCACTTTTGTGCAAAACATATATTTCCTTTTCACTTTTACCCCTTAACATTAAATCTACATTTTAATCAGAAACAGAAAAATATCGTCATATTTTCATACCCTGCCATTGCTATTTAAAAATATGGAAAAATGAATAATCCGTTAAAAACAATATAAATATTTGTATTTATTTACTTTGGTTCAACCTGGCCTCACAAATGATTAAAGAAAATTGTACTGGATTTAAGTTTGTCGCGGTCAAAATGCTGTAACTGGTATTTCGCATGTATATTATATATCATTATGTAATGAGAAACTACCATTACTGTTTATGGTGAAAACAAATACATCTTTATTCTCTATATGATGGAATTAAAATGTAAAGATCTGATCTATGTAATAGGAATTATAGCATGTGGTGAGTATATACCGAAAGTTTTGTTGTAACACACGGGTATATTGCGTAAATAGTTTTAACAAAGTTGTATTGAAACTGTTCTAGTATTTTGTTTTGTTTTGCTACATTACATTATGTATTTGATCAAGCATTGTACATTTATTCCTCGATTTTTGACAACCTTGAGTAATCAACAAGAGCTGTCCGTAAGACATCACGCTGCTTGACAATTAGAAAGGGGCATAACTCCATCGGTTAAAAGGGTAACTCAGAGTTATTGGACCTGTTCTTATCATGTTAGATAATCATGGAGAATAAGTATGTGAAGCTTTATGATTGTTTCAAATACCATCTGGTATTTAACTGCACAGCCCTCGTGATATAATTCCTCGCATCCGAACTCCAAACAGTGATTTTATTGAGCGATAAAATCACTGTTTGGGATATATTATTTCTGAAATATGGCATTAAAGCTAACGCGATTTTAAAGTATCAACATATGTATGGTAGATTCTTATGGAAGCGTCCTAGTGCCAAACCTGAAATGTTTTTATGTCATAATTAGTAGATAGTATGTGCTAATTAGTAGAAAGTAAGTGCTAATTAGTAGAAAGTTAGTGCTAATTAGTAGATAGTAAGTGCTAATTAGTAGATGCTAAGTCATAATTAGTAGACAGTAAATACTTCAATTCAATTCAATTCAATTCAATATTTATTTGGCATAAACATATACAATGTTCATCGCCAATACACAACTGTATGGCGGATATAATGTACAATTGAGAAAAGTATGTTATTATAAAGTTACAGCTGTAGATAATACATACATTTAATAATTGATTAGTCAATAAATGACATTAGTCTTATTTAATTCTTTTGTATTATTTTACAATATCAACACAATGCAGGAAGTTGTTAACAAGGTATAACAATAATTACAAAACTCATTTTAAAAAATGGTGAAAAAATGCAATATGGTCATTACATATTTCTTTTAAACATTAGCTAAATATATATATCTTGAGGTTTTGTTTAAAATGCTACTCTGAGTACTAGATAATAAAGTTTTAAATTTGTTCAAATTAGGCCAATGACAATAATATTTCGGCAAACATGCGTTTCTTATTTCTCTATAAAAAGGGCAAACTAGTAAAAAATGATATTCGTTTTCAATACTACTCATATTACATTTTGTACATATTCTAAGTCTTCTGTCAATATTTCTATGCCTTCCCTCTTCAATAAGTAGATTGTGAGCGGAACATCTTAGCCTAGAAATGCAATTCTGTTGATTTGTATTAGTGATACTTGAAAATAATTCTCTGTACAAAAATCTGTTTTTATTAAACAATATGTTTCTAGTTTTGGTGAGTTACGAAGTTCAGAATAAAACTGTTGAATATACTGATCATAGATTGATCTAATAACACATTGAATCTGTAAATTTGTTACAAATGAATTATTCCATAGGTAGGAAAAACCTGTTTCATCTAGAATGTTTCTTAACATTTTTTAGACCATTTATTTTTACTGGATTACCATTAAAATCATGTTTCATAAATACTTTATACATAGAGAATCTGTGTTTGACATTATCTTAAACCAAATATTAATCATTCTTATCTTACGCATAAAATATAGTGGAAGTCTTCCAAATTCACCATATAATGTAACATTTGATGTTTGTGTTCGTACTTGTAAAGTTTGTTTTAAAAATTTCATGTGAACCTTTTCAATATCTGGTGCCTTATGAAAACCCACACTTCACAACCATAATTCAAAAAGAGCAAACCATCAATCAAAGAGTTTTAATCTTTCAGAAATATTAAAAGATACAACATCGAATAATGAATTTAAGAGAATACAATGCTCTTTGTGCTTGTGTGATAATGATTTCTGAGCTTGATAAAACATCCGTTAGAAGATAACGTTACACCTAAATATGTAAAAGTACGTACAATATTGAGCTTACAATTGTTATAAAATACTCAAATGTTCTGGATAATTTCCCTTTTTATAAAACCATTTAGAACATGTTTTATCAATGTTAAACGTTATACCCCATTTGTACAATACACAACTAAATTATTTAACAATTTTGAAAGCCCTTCGGAAGAATATGACATTAACAACAGTGTCGTCCGCAAAAAGTAATAAGAAAATTTCAGTTCCTCTAAAAACAAAACGAATCTATTGTGTCATCAAGAATACATTGATAACATATCATTTATGAAAAACAGAAAATAATAAAGGCGATAAAGGCTCGCCTTGTTTAACATCTTTTACACTATCAAAACTTTCAGAACACATACCATTTAACACGTACACAAATTTTCACATTTTCATACATTTTTTTTTTTGGCAACATTTTAACAAATTTTGTCGAAGCACCTGATTCTAATAACTTTACCATAAACCTTTCTATATACAACATCGAAAGCTTTCTTAAAAATCAACAAAAGTGCACAGTATAACTTTCTTTTTTCGAGGGAGATAACTCTATCTATAATCGAAGTTAGAACAAAAATGCAATCAATTGTGCTTTTGTTTTTTCTAAAAACCATATTGAAATCAGATATAATTCATTTGATTCTGCCCATGAGCGAAGCCTTGTATCTAGCAAAACTGAAAATATTTTTGAGAAAATACTAGTGAGAGTAATACCTCTATAATTGTTAACATCTTTTTGATCACCTTTTTTTGGAACAGGGACAAATCACGCCCTTTGCCCCAACTAACTGGATATATACAATTTACATACATATGATTAAAAAGTTTACATAATAATGGGGCTAACAAATCTTTACTGTCAATAAACATTTCAGGAATTAAACAATCAATACCCCCGCTTTTCCGCCCGCTTTAATGTCGACATTGCTTTAAGAAACTTCTTCTATAGTAAAAATGATTTATCGAGCAGCTCTACATTAGTTACGTTGCTATTATTAGACAAAATATTTCTCAACATCATTTTTCGAAAAATCTAAATCATCCGAAAAAAGTCTTTAAAATGATTAAAAAAATCCTCAGAACACTTATATTATTGTTTTTTGATTTTTTTAGCTTTTAAATTATTTACTTCTTTTCCAAAACTGCTGTGGTTGTGTGGAAGCTAATTTATGCAAATTATTTTTTTGATTTGCTTAAATTTCGTTTTACCTTACGTTTGGTGTAACGGTAAATGGTCTTTTTTCAAGAAGAATGTTACTGTTATTAGTAGATCTATTGCTTTTGTATAACTTCGTGGCTGAACGAAATTCACTTCTAGCGTCTCGCATTCTTGCGTAAACCACGGGGCTTTAATTTGCGTTTACGATTGAGAATTTGACACATTTACTGACCTACGAAACGCTATATGCACATTGTAAAGGATATCTGCAAATTGATCTACTCCAGAATTTATGTCTGTATTTGGAAAAAAATAATATTATCAACAATACTTTCTAGGTTATTTTTTTCTAGGTCAATTAAATTTTTATACTCTAAACATTTTGCATTACTCCACACGATTTTGTCAACAAAAGGTGTCCTTACCTAAGGACTTTTCACAATGATTTTTTATACACAAATTTATCTGTTATAGGTGCATGGTGAGAACATGATTCATGTCATGAACAATAAAATCTTCAATGTAATGAAAAAAAGTCACATGACATTAAAACATAATCAATTAGGCTATACCCAACGTTTGACATAAACGTATAACTGCCTACACCCGCATCATCACCAATACGGCCGTTAACGATTTTTAAGTCACTACATAATTATACTTACTAATTAGGAGATAGTAAGTGCTAATTAGTATATACTAAGTCATAATTAGTATATAGTAAGTACTAATTAGTAGATACTAAGTCATAATTAGTAGATAGTAAGTGCTAATTATTAGATAGTAAGTGCTAATTAGTAGATACTAAGTCATAATTAGTATATAGTAAGTACTAATTAATAGATACTATGTCATAATTAGTATATAGTAAGTACTAATTAGTAGATAATAAGTCATAATTAGTAGATAGTAAGTACTAATTAGAACATAATAAGTCATAATTAGTAGATAGTAAGTACTAATTAATAGAAACTATGTCATAATTAGTATATAGTAAGTACTAATTAGTAGATAATAAGTCATAATTAGTAGATAGTAAGTACTAATTAGAACATAATAAGTCATAATTAGTAGATAGTAAGTACTAATTAGTACATACTTTCGCTATCAAATAGTCACAACTCAGTATCTACTAATTAGCACTTACTATCTACTATATATGATTTAGTATCTACTAATTATGACTTAGTTTCTACTAATTATGACTTAGTATCTACTAATTACGACTTATTATCTACTAATTAGCACTTACTATCTACTATTTATGACTTAGTATCTACTAATTATGACTTAGCATTTACTTATTAGTACTAACTATCTAATAATTATTACTAAATATGTACTAATTAGTACTTACTATCTACTAATTATAACTTACTATCTAATAATTAGTACTTACTATCAACTAATTATGACTTAGTATCTACTAATTATAACTTACTATCTACTAATTAGCACTTACTATCTACTAATTAGTACTTACTATTTACTAATTATCACTTACTATCTAATAATTAGTACTTACTATCTACTAATTATGACTTAGTATCTACTAATTAGCACTTACTATCTACTATTTATGACTTAGTATCTACTAATTATGACTTAGCATTTACTTATTAGTACTAACTATCTAATAATTATTACTAAATATGTACTAATTAGTACTTACTATCTACTAATTATAACTTACTATCTAATAATTATACTTACTATCAACTAATTATGACTTAGTATCTACTAATTATAACTTACTATCTACTAATTAGCACTTACTATCTACTAATTAGTACTTACTATTTACTAATTATCACTTACTATCTAATAATTAGTACTTACTATCTACTAATTATGACTTAGTATCGACTAATTATAACTTACTATCTACTAATTAGCACTTACTATCTAATAATTAGTACTTACTATCTACTAATTATGACTTAGTATCTACTAATTAAGAGATAAAAAATATTTCAGGTTTGGCACTACGACGCTTCCATAGATTCTGCTAAAAATAAGGCATGTTGTGTAGAAAGTTTTTACGAAATACAGAATCACTCTACGATTACATTTAAAAACCCCAAACGTGTCACCTTTATAATAGACAGAGGTCACATATGTTGCTGGTACCAGGTTAATGTATTACCATTACTGTATACCACGACGTACGCATGAAATATTAGGCTTTGCTATCTTATTCTTCTTAAAATCTAAGGTCCTACTTTTTAAGCTAGCTCATATATGTTTTAGTTATTTTACGATTAGCCTCTCAGTTAGGTTTAACAATGATGATGATATTTAAGAATTGGATGTTCTTGCACGTGCTAGAACAAGATATTTAGATCTTAAGATACATTTTGATTCCAGTTTGAGATTAAATTAATTGAGCCGTGTCACGACAAAACCAGTCTGATCAGGATCCATGCTGTTCGCTTACCAACCCTATTACAAGTAGAGAAACTGATAGCGGACAGCATGGATCCTGATCAGACTGCGCGGATGCGCAGGCTGGTCTGGATCGATGCTGGTCGCAAACGCATTATGTTGGTTTTGTCGTGACACGGCTCAATTAATATTTAGCTAATAGTAATGATTACTGTAAGCTCATCTATACCATTTCTGGACTAACCAGTACTCGACTGATTCCCGTAATTAAGGACGTTAATTTGTGCACTTAACTCTAAAGTCGTTGCCAACGCTATATAGCTAGTCCAGCCAATACTTCCATGCAGTTTGACAAAAATAAAGATTGTTTTGGTAGTTCATTTTTTGTATTTTGATAATAATACCTCTTAAATTTTTAAAGGGCTATTCAAAATTGTAAACAAGACAAATCCATTATTATTATTATATCATAATTTAAGCAGGTTAAAGGTGAAAACCAGATGCCATCAAGCAGCAAATATCGGCATAGATTTTATTTCAAATCAGAAGCCTCTAATTATTATTATCATATTTGTACCTCTATCACTGTGTATATAGATGAAAGGACATTAGGAAAAATTATCTGTAAAACAAGATATAACATTGTGAAAACTGACCTTACATTTAAATGGGTAAAGTTTAATCTTTATCACATATAGCATGCAAGAGCAATTGATTAAGTAAATATTTATTTGAGCGTTGAATGTTATTCTAAATTCGGAACACCTCGTCGATAACCCGACATGTGACAAAAAATCTATATTATTAAGAATCTGCGCAACATTAAACAGGAAGAAAGTATGGCATTGAAGCTTCATGGCTGACAAGTTCCATGGCTTTTAAGCGTCATGGCTTACACGCTTCATGGTTCACAAGTTTCGTGGCTTACAAGTTAAAGGGCTTTCAAAGTTCAAGACTTACAAGGTTCGTGGCTTACAAGCTTCGTGGCTTACAAGTTTAACGGCTTACAAGCTTCGTGGCTTACAAGTTTAACGGCTTACAAGTTTCAAGACTTACAAGGTTCGTGGCTTACAAGGTTCATGGCTTACAAGCTTCGTAGCTTACAATTTAATGGCTTACAAGTTTCAGGACTTACAGGTTCGTGGCTTACAAGCTTAATGGCTTACAAGTTTAACGACTTACAAGTTTCAAGACTTACAAGGTTCGTGGCTTACAAGCTTCATGGCTTACACGCTTCATGGCTTACAAGCTTCATGGCTAACATGTTTAATGGCTTACAAGTTTCAAGACTTACAAGGTTCGTGGCTTACAAGCTTCATGGCTTACCAGTTTAACGGCTTACACGTTTCAAGACTTACAAGGTTCGTGGCTTACAAGCTTCGTGGCTTACAAGTTTAACGGCTTACAAGTTTCAAGACTTACAAGGTTCGTGGCTTACAAGCTTCGTGGCTTACAATTTAATGGCTTACAAGTTTCAGGACTTACAGGTTCGTGGCTTACAAAGTTCGTGGCTTACAAGCTTCGTGGCTTACAATTTAATGGCTTACAAGTTTCAAGACTTACAAGGTTCGTGGCTTACAAGCTTCGTGGCTTACAATTTAATGGCTTACAAGTTTCAAGACTTACAAGGTTCGTGGCTTACAAGGTTCATGGCTTACAAGCTTCGTGGCTTACAATTTAATGGCTTACAAGTTTCAGGACTTGCAGGTTCGTGGCTTACAAGCTCCATGGCTTATACAAGCTTCAGTCCCATAGGCAAGAAAAAGCATTCGTTACTAAATTTGGAACATCGCTGGTGATTTAGGGTATCATTTGGTCTCAAAGTATACATCCTGTAGTTATAATGAAACCGCATTATTCATTGCAAAAAAAGAGTGTCAATCATTCAAATACAATATACCTTGTAACTTCACGCATACATACATGTACGAGTATATATAGGAATGCATTTATATATAGAGGAAAATGGCTCTTTCAAAAGTCCAAACAAATATACTGCATCATTTTAATTTATATGAAATAATGAAATGAAATAAAACATAATCAAGAGATAACATTTTGGAACAAATAAATGATAAAGTAACTAAATAAAAATGACAATTGCAATTATAATAGTGTTTAACACATACGTACATATAAATACATTTATCTAACTACAATTACACACTTTTAACAGTTCATTTTCGAAAGTTCTATTATTTCTGTTTCTCCCCTTGACTTTGCACGTTGCCCATCTGTTACTATGACAACAGTTTTCGTAGTTCCCCACTTTGATCCAAAGCTTGAACCTCTGATCCGCCGCCAACAAATTTGCCGTTAATGAAAATCCGGGGCACCTGTGTTTAAAAATAGATTTTAACGTACAATCAATAAGTGTTCTAATCCTAACCTTTACAAGTACATAATCCGATTACAATATTTATAACCTTCTACACTTGTATTTAAGATGTTATGTCAATAAATTCAGTATCAATTTTGTTAAAGTCGGTTATTTTAGTTTCGTCGTTACCACCGAACTAAATTAAGTTATCCAGCGTTGAAAGTGTCATGAAACACGAAATTGTAAAATTTAAAATAATCTAAATATAATATAATTTCATCAACAATTATGTCTGGTAGAAGATCACATGTAGTTGGTCAAAGCATGTTAATTTGCACAAAGGAATTGTAACATTTTCTTTATGTAAGTAATGTATATGAAATGTACAATCTTACAAATACAAATGAGACACGTCACGACAAAACCAACATAATGGGTTTGCGACCAGCATGGATCCAGACCAGCCTGCGCATCCGCGCAGTCTGATCAGGATCCATGCTGTTCGCTTACAAACCCTATAACAAGTAGAGAAACTGATAGCGAACAGCATGGATCCTGATCAGACTGCGCGGATGCGCAGGCTGGTCTGGATCCATATTCTGGTCGCAAACCCATTATGTTGGTTTTGTCGTGACACGGCTCAAATGTACATTTGGTTTGACACACCAGAATTAATATTCATATTCACGCATAATGCAACAAGTAAATTTAATTTCTGAACCGTCTTATTTAAGTTTTCGACTATCCATGCATTTTCTAAAGCCATAAATGAAGTGATATGCAGAATAATAAATACATTGATATGCAGAACAATTTACGTTTTTAAAGTCAGCGTGATACCTCTTACAAAAATACTAATAAAAAAATACAACGTCTAAAAACAGGCTTCGAACCAACATAAGGAAATAAAGGAAAGCGGCTACACTCACAGTTTGGCCTCCAGTAATGCTACCAAGTACACTCTGTATTTCTCCACAATTACTTTCATTTTCAATCTCCCATACTTCATAATCATCTGAATTTAACTCCTTTCCCAAGTAAGCCTCGATTGTTTTCTTTCCAAGCTTGCAGTATGGACAATACGATTTTGAAAACACCATCACTTTCTTCCCAGCGATTTTACCTTCAACGATTGCCTTTGTGTTCGCCATTTTTTGTCAGTTTTTTCCAGTCTCGATAATCTAATGTTAACTAAATTCCTCTAATATCGTGGTCAGTTAAACGGTTCAATAATCAGAACTTAATCTACGCTGGACACCTATAGTGGCTTGTGTTTATGGAACGTCTAATGTGTATTTACTTAAACTACTTGAACTACTCTACAGTTGTCACTGTTGTACAGCGTTCATCGGAAATAGCCTCTCAAAACATCGAAAACAAAGTAAAAATGTGTACGTGTTAATGTTTTATATTATTTCCCTATCATAATTTAATCGATTTTTCCAAACCAAACAATTTTGTGAAGCTGAATATGCAATTTTTCTGCAAATTGAATATTTTTTTGTTAAATTGGCGATAAATTCTAGCATATTTGTTGACATTTGCGAACGATGTCGATATTTAACACTAAATCAAGCCCAAAACGCATTTTCTTTGTCAAAATACGTCTTTGGTACAAAATAAAGACTTCCCTCTACTTGTATTTGAGCGACCACCCATCAACTCGAGCTGCTTTTGAAAAACAGTCTTGCCTAGCACGGTTGTGTACGTGGTGTAGATGGAAATCTGCTAGCGAGTGTACGGGTTGTAGTAGGTAAATGAATGAAAATGCATTTACGCTGATGAAGGAATAACAATCGATGTAGGGAGCAGGGATCGGAAAGTGAAAAAAATTAATATTTTTCAAAGGATAAAAAAGAAACATTAAATTAAATATACGTAAGCAAGTAAGCCGTTTTCATGCGCTAGCCAACTTTTTATATGAGACTTTGAGTTTATAGGAAAATATGAAACTCAGTAGACCTTATTATATTATACAGATTGGTAGAACTTTACAGTAGTTTTGTATAATTGGTCTTAAACAATGATAAGTATAGTCTAAGAGCTGTGCATGTCAGTACACTTCAATAAGAGCAATTTTGCTGGCGATTTGCCTTTATTTTCCAAATAAAAAGATATAATATACATTACAACAAATTACGTTTAAAAAGTTAAGAGTGTGAGATTCAGCAAATGATATTGAACAGATCCTTAGTTGGCCTGACTTCCTCCTATATCATTCTCCACAGATATCTTGAGATACTAACTCATAAGAATTTTAATTGGGCTTGATTTAGTTGTAAATATCAACATCATTTGCAAATGTCAACAAATAAGCAACAATTTATATATCGCCAATTTAACAAAAAGTATTCAGTTTGCAGAAAAAAGCAAATACTGCTCTAAAACCAGATATATTCAGCTTCACAAAAGTATTTTGTTTGGAAAAAATTGATTAAGTTATGATGGAGAAATAAGTTGAAACATTACCTCAAGTGAACTCGACGTTCACCTTTTTACTTTCGTTTGGGGCTATTTCCGGTGAACGCTGTACAACAGTGGTTATTTTTAATAGAATCTGAAATAAATAAATTGGAGAGATATTCAAACTGGGCTCCCTCTCTATATACGTACTTGCGCGTGTCTGAAAATTAAATAGTTTGCGCAGAAATTTATGCGCAGAAATTTATTATTTCACTCTTCGCTGTTTTAAAGTTACATAATGCTCATTATTTTCGCTGTGGTGTTGAGTTTAATTGACTAAATATTTAAAAAGATTGACTATTATAAAGGCGATTGAACAATAATGATTATGAAAAATGTCAAGGATAAATATGATAAATTGCCTGAAATATAAAAGGCTTGCTCCACTCTTTTAATCAAAGGGACCTTAACGTAACGAATATTCTGAAGGATATCTTTCGAATTTATTGTGATTCATGTGGGTTATTGATTATACACTTGGACTATTATCTACATTAAAATTGAAACTTAAAATGGAAAAATCTCAAGTTTTTTTTTTAACTTTGACCCTTTCACCCCACCATGACATAATGTCACTTTAAATTTAAAAGAGATATAACTAAATATAGGTAAAATAAAAAAAGAAATCGAGCATTATTTGCAAAGTCTTCGACTTAAAATACAAATGAATTAAATGATGGTGGGTTTCTATTAGATAACATCACTGTCTCATTAATTGCGTTCGGAAACATTATTGTAGCTACCGAGTGGAGAATTTTAAGGCTCCTTGAAAAAATATCGAATTTTGGCCACTCTGAAATTATTAATACTGCCAATGTGTAAAATTTAAATGTTCGTTATTTAAAAACATATTCGTTAAGCTGTTTGTGAATTTACATCCCATCGCACCCCCTTAATTGTTTTAATCTCAGCTCCGTTATTTAACTATTTATATAGATGCACGAGCTGGACTTCGTTTCGCAAAGAGATAGGTTCAAATATTTGAATTTATATCAGTTTGACGTTCCATAACTTACATCATAACTTGTTCTCTACCCCTGTTATCAGTTAATTTTCATGTTTATATAAGAGATTAGCTAAGATATACCTTACATGAGAAAATTCTGTTGAAAGTGTGCAAAAATCTTAAAAATTTGAAATTTCTGCCATGCAGTACAGTAACTAATATTAATTAAGTGTAGGCTCTTAAATAAAGATTTCATTTAAGGTTTTGAAGTGATACATCGCGAGTTCTTCCCCTTTGTTTGAAGAACTCCACTTGCATCAATAGCCTATAACAGACCCCAGTAAAAGGTCTGTTTAACATGACATGGTAAATTCTGTGCTACAGGGTAGTTTACATTCGTGAGGACTTTTCAGGATCAATAAAATTGCCTTTCCAGTTTCCTGGAATCCAATCCAAATGGCAATATTGTCTATTTTTTAAGGTGATTCCGCTTTGTGAGCCATGTTTGTGTGCACAGACACTTGTTTAGAAGCGAATATAAGGCATTTATAATGACATTACTCCAGTATATACTATAAATAACACGTTATAATGACATTACTCCAGTATATACTATAAATAACACGTTATTTATAGTATATACTGGAGTAATGTCATTATAAATGCCTTATATTCGCTTCTAAACAAGTGTCTGTGTATGTGTGTAGTAAAAACTTAACATCAAGAAACATCTTCTAATGGGTGTCTTCCAAGTTTGTTCAAATAAAAGCCCTGAGTTTAAACTGGCCTCGCTCCGGGGGCCTATATACAGGTGAGCGACCTCAGGGCCATCATGACCCTCATGTTGATTTTGAAAGAGTTTTTATGTGATTTCTGGAAATAATGGTTGAGCACTGGTCCGGTGTATCTCAGAAGAAAAATATCCAAAGAAAACATTTGTCATTCCGAATATTGATATATAAAAATTAAATTAGATCTACAAAATACAGATTTTTTTCTTTTTAAATAATGAATTAATATCAAATTTTCCAATAAATGTAATTTTAGCAAAAACTTTAAAAAAAATAATGAAAATGCGAAGTCTTTCAATGAAGGAGAGATATTTTGTCTGGTGTTTGGTTTCATTAGGGATAAATTATTAACACACAGGGATAACCAGGCTTCAGTCCAGAATTGATCTTGTAAAGGCAAGTTCCCCACTATAAAAACAGTCAAGCAACTAGTTCCAGGACAGGACCAGTTTCGGTTACTTCAATGCTGTTTTCATTGAAATATTTCTGACATTTGAATATTTTGTTGATAATATATTGCAATGTGTGTCTTACCATCTGTTGGCAGCTCATTTTCTTATGAATTGCCGGTTTTCTAAAAAAACAGCATTGAATGAGTTGGAACATAAACTAAAATAAAATAAACTTTTTTCATAAAAATTATAAACCTTGTGTGCGGAACCTGTGAAGCCAACTATTTATTATATTTGGCCCATTCCTAATCTAGCGCACCTAGAAGTATGACCTACTTAAGATAGAAATGTTATGTTCAGGGCAAAGTATTTATTTTCAATATAATATTAGTTATAAGAAGAATTTTGAACTAAGAAATAATTTTCTATTTTTCCTTTAAAAAGTATACGACAACAGGCGAGTACAGTAACACTGACTCTACATGATGATGTTGGGGATCTAGAATATTACAATTCATTGCAGAATATTCTTGAACAAGAACATTTCTCTAAATATAAACTTTTCTTAACTACATTATATAAAACAATTCTCTATACATTGTATAACTTTATCATGTGATGGAGAAATTTTGTAGATTTTTAACATTGGATTTAGGAGTCACTTGATTTAGGAGATTATTTATTACATGTATATACTAACCAATCAGAAAATATTTCCAAGACCATATGCTATTTTTAGCTTTCAGGCTTTAAATTTTGGATCTCTGCTGGAAAACAATATTGGACTAGCATACCCCCGACTGATGTATATTCGCGTATTTACTAACTATTATCACATTTTTGAGAAATAATGTGAAATAAAGATTTACACATAATGGTTAAGCACATGAATTAAACTGAAATGTCATATTATAAAGCATACTTATATGCCATATTTGCAGCGATCGATTTAAAAAGCAGGAAATTTTTTCAGTGTGTGTAAACTAATAGTGAAATTTTTTTTATTTATTGTAACAAGAACTGAAATAGATTAAACATCAAAATACTAAGAAAATAATAAGGATAACAGTCCCACCTCATACATGTGAACTTTTTTCAATGATGAAATGGGAGGTTTTATTTCAAAGGAGGGAGATTTTAGAATTTGCAATAAACAAAGATTAAGACGTTCTGACATCAAAAATAATGAGATTTCTTTAATTTGTGAAACTACCCCTTATTTCAAGAAAAATCATTGAAAATATGGCTGCAGAATGTGAGAGTCTCCTGCTAAAAGTGGAAGAGTTCACATGTATGCCACCTATTGTCAGATGACTTTCAATGTTCTTTAATGATGGGGGATTTCAATCCTGTAACATTTGAATTGGGAACAAATTCAACAATGTTGTAAATGTGAGAGTTTTTCCCGCAGTTTGTAATATGTATGACTCATATTAAGTCAGTATTTCATTCATTTTTCTTTCTCTTTTTTCCCCAAAGTGCCATATAATTTTATCCCAATTAAAGCCTGGGAATTTTCCTGGGGCTAACAAATTTCCCCCCCTAAAAGGTTAATAAAATTATATTTAATATAATAATTATATGAAAAGTAACTTGAATTTCGAGGGTTCAAAGGTAAAAGGTAATAACTTCCATTTTCAAGATTTCGAGAAAAACGCAAAAAACATATTTTTTTAATACAACTTTATTTTCCGTAATATTGTTATAACAATTTTGATTCTCCCATATTTGTTGACTACATTAGATCATATTTTGTTTAGTTTACATTGCTTGATGCTGATAAAACACTGTAATTATAGTTTGTTTTAAAGTTCTAAGATCAAAATAATATCATTTTACAGAAGTAAAAGGTAATAACTGTACTTAGATCCTGTCAAGACTACAAGTTTGAGCGGTAAAAGGTAATAACTGCACTTACGACCTTTTACTTCTGAAGGTTTAGCAATAAATGTTAGAGATAAACTGTGGTAAAAGGTTATAAGTGCAGTTATAGCCTTGTTCCTCTGAAAAATTTAGATGTTGCAGTAATTGTTACTGTTGCAAATTTATCAATTATGTCCTTACTTTGAAGAACCTTACGTAATGTAATTAACACAATGCATATTAATACTCGTACACAAAATTAACACTTTTCATTCGTAGAAATATGAAATATGTACCTGCTCAATATTTAGATTCTACAGAAATAAATTAATAACTAAAAAGTTTACGAAAATACGCACTAAAATCTAAGTTTACAAATTTCATTTATTTTGAATGTTCTCTGGTATATAATCGAACTGAAGTCAAACAGACCCCAGACATCAGCAATTAAGGATATTAGTGACCCATATCATAGTTAAGTAAATAAAGGCTACTGTTTCATGTCACAAAATGTGAATGTTTGTCATTAATTATTCTATGACCTCCACTCATCTTCTTCACTCTCACTAACAGAAGGCACTGAAAGTTTGTCTTTTATAGATTTGCTGCATAGCAATGACTCATAGTATGATTCGCACTCCTTCATAATTGTTCCAGAGGCAACAAGTGACATCAAATCAGCTTTTGCAGCAGATATTGGAAGCTTTTCTGTATAATATAGCATTTCGTGGAGCCTTAAGAGACTTTTCTTTGCTTCTGTTCTTCTTCTGCATTAACCTTACTGCCTTGAACTCACTAACCACAAAACCATAGCTCACAACAATACTGTATTTTTGTCTATATCTATCTCCAGTCATTACGTCATTTGATAACGTCACATGTTTAGCAGCAAAACAAAACTACATAAATTATAGATGTTATTTTATCGGGGAAAAAGAAGAATGAAACCATTTAATTATTCTAAAAACATTATTAAAAGCAGGATAAAACAAATACATGGTTGATGTCGGGCTGGAGAAGGTTTATCCGGTTCACTGCGAAAGTGAATCTTGGCTTGCTTAAGCTCGCCAAGATACACTTTCTAGCTCACCGGATAAGCCTTATCCATCCCTAAATCAAATATGTATTTTATATATATTCAGCCAATAAACACATTCACCATCAACATCGATTTTCATTGAGCCAAAGTTTTGTTCTTTGTACAACTTGTAATCTAGTATGTCATTGTATTTTATTAGAACGACAATATATGGTTGCTTCCGGCGTGCTTATGGTATAACTGTTTCCCACTGCGATGGAACATGAACTATTGTAAGGCTTTTTGCATGCTTGATAGATGCATGTATGGAATTTGCATTCCATTAATGAATGGCCAATTTCAAGAAATGTGTGGTTTTACCATTGATGTGAGGTATATCTTGGACACAGTGAACTAAGCAACTTGCAACAAACTGATTGAAATTCTGTCCTCCACATGCATTACTATATAATGTCACTTCTTTAATACCAGATGTCTTACTTGCAACAGAGGTTACATACAAAATTCTGGTACACAAAAGTTCCTACTTTGCACGAGCCTGGTTTCCCCATGTGTCTCATCCAACAGAGTCCCGTTACCATTTCCCAGTTCATAGAATGACAAATTGCAACAACACAGTTTTCATTTGTAACGAAGATCACCAATTAAACTGAGTGGTGTTTTCAAAATAGCCTGGATATCAAATGCCGACACAGAAAACTTTGGATCTTTCTTTGTGCGTTTTTAATAGGCTGATTTTTGCATTCTTGCACTGTTTTTTTTTCTTTTGGTCACTTATTGTACTTGATATTTTGCTTTTGTTGCCTCATCTAGTCTATCTTCTATTCTCAAAGTGTCATACAGATTGCAGAGTGGACATTGATCTTTCTTAGGACGAAAAAAAAAGTTATATTCTGTACTAAAAATGATTCTGTACACAGCCTCTGAAACACACTTTCTATTTTGTCCTTTGCATTTTTAGCTCGACTTTTCTATGAAAAGGGGAGCTATCCTACTCGCCCCGGCGTCGGCGTCGGCGTCGGCGTTGGCGTCACACCTTGGTTAAGTTTTTCGTACCACCCCACTTTATTTCAGAAGTATTACAAGTATGGCTTTGAAACTTACCATACTTGTTCACCATCATAACCTCCATCTACAGACAAGAGTACATAACTCTGTCAAGGTTTTTGACAGAATTATGGCCCTTTTTTGACTTAGAAAGTGTATTGAGCTTGGTTAAGTTTTTTGTACCACCTCACTTTATTTCAAACCATTGGAGGTATTGCTTTGAAACTGACCATACTTGTTTACCATCACGACCTTCATCAACAGACAAGAGGACATAACTCTGTCAAGGTTTTTGACAGAATTATGCCCCTTTTTGACTTAGAAAATACATTGAATATGGGTAAAATCCACTTATTGCCTTAACCCTTTGAGATATTGCTTTGAAACTTTTAATGCTATTTCACATCATTACCCCCATCTGTACGCAAGAGAAGGTAACTCTGTCAAGGATTTGTTTTAAAAATTAAGGCCTTTTATCGACTTAGAATCTTGGTTAAGTTTTTAGTACCAGTCCACTTTTTGACTGAACTGTTTGAGATATTAATTTGAAAGTTGGAATACTTGTTTACAATCATGATTCCCAAACATGTCCAGGAGAAGGTAATTCTGTCAAAGATTTTATTTGAATTATGGCCCTTAACTGTCAATGTTTTGTATTATAGGCAAGCACTAAAAAACTTAAAAAATCTAAAAAAATTCATTCCTATCCACTTGTTCACTTTACCATAAATTATGTCATAATAAAATAATTCTTCACTAAATATCTTAATGCTCATGGCCATTGTTCACTTTAAAAATACAGAGATTCTTGTATTGCCTTTTACTGCAAAAACTTTTTTTATTGGCAAGCAATAAAAAAGTCGAGCGCGCTGTCTTACGGACAGCTCTTGTTCTACATACAGTGAGTATATTCGTTTTATATTTAAATCTTGCGTTAGATACTTCCTGTTGGGGTCTTCGTGTGTAGTGTGATTCAACAGTCGGAAAGCTTTCGTTGTGTTTCTTTACAAATGATCTGTGATATTCCGTGGTTTTATTTCCAGGCACAGCTTTCCCTATCTTGTCATTTCCAACATATAACCCTGCCACTTTGTGCTTAACTGCGTTTGCAACTGTTTTGGAACCGACAACGATAGTTTTTAGTAAAAAATTCAGGAAAGAAAGTGATCCCTCGGAAGCATTAATCACAAAAAAATTACATAAAAATTGCAGACTCGGTTTGATTGAGTCTGTACATGAGAGATAATGAATAAGTGCAACATCCCTCACGCCCTCTTTTCTACCTGTGTGAAAAACGAATTCGAAATAGGTCTTTGTTTTGTTCTCTGTTTAGATGCATTCTCTGGTTCTTTATTGGCAACATGGAAACAAATGAATTGCCTCTGACTTATGTAATCACCCATTGACCAGTATGTACTGAATATTTTCTGTCTTTCATATTCGGTTATATTCTCGTTGCATTTAATTCTAAAAGATAAATTTCGTGGGAAAAGAGATAACAGATAGTGCCTGTGAACTGTATGAATGCAGCATTATGTCAGGGGAAAAAGGTGATAAAATCAGTTAAAACCTTTTTCCACTACAGATTCTTCACAACATGTGAAACAACAAGTAAACAACAGGTAATAAGTACACTTAGAACCTTTTACCCCTAAATAATTTGTAGAAAAGAAGTTATTACAAAATACTTTTTATTTTTTGCCCTTATAAGGATTGAATATTTATATAATACTTTCGTCAGACATAAAGGACAATAAGTACATTATAAAAAACATAAAAAGTCAATTTCGGCGAAAGTGGCAGTTATAACCTTTTACCTTTGAACCCTCGATTTGCTGTACAAATATATACAGTAAAAACCCTCAATTAAGACCACCATCGGGACTGGACCAAAGTGGTCTTAATTACAGGGTGGTCTTAATTGTGAATATTCTTATCAATGCTTACACACTTTTTGACCATGGTCTATTTTAGTCAATTTGTATGAACAAACAATATACAGTTGACTCTCTGTAACTCGAAATCCAAAGTACTAGTATTACATAAAACGCAATGTGACCTTGGCCTTTATATTTCAGCTTTACCATGTATATATGGGGAGTGTGAACCTGGATGGTACGAGTATTATGACAACTGTTACTATGTCTCCGTTGATAGATATAATCATCGTGATCTAGAACATGCCTGTACTTCTAGAAATGCTACGTTATGGATATGGCATTCAACTGACGAATTAGTAAGTTAAATGAGTGACGCCATGACAAAATCAACATAATGCGTTTGTGACCAAAATAGATCCAGATCAGCCTGCGCATCCATGCAGTCTGATCAGGATCCATGCTGTTTGCTTACAAACCCTATTACAGGTTGAGAAACTGATAGCTAACAGCTTGGATCCTGATCAGACTGCGTGGATGGGCATGCTGGTCTGGATCCATGCAGATAGCAAACCCACTATTGTTGGTTTTGTCATGGTGCGGCTCAATAATAATTTATTGAATGAGTGTTAGTTTAATACTGAATTTATTGAACAAGCTGAATAAAATTATGTTATATGCGAGCATATTTTTTTTTTCAACGAGTTCATTAAATTTAGTAATGAACTTTCATGACTATTATATTCTTTTTATCACATACCCAAAATTAAAACTGTTGAAAGTGAAAAGTTACATTTTTCATTGACGCGCCTATAGTATAACACTAACATTTAGCGTGTCTTAACGCTATGTTTGTATAACACAAGTGATGTTCTGTCAAAATATATGCATGGTTGTGCATTACCAGTTTTACAGAGTCTCAAAAGCGGCACAGGTATGTGATGAACAGTAAATAAGTTGATATGATATTAGTTACAGATTAAAGACATTATGAAGGAGAAAACTTTTTAAGCATAGATATATGTGTACTTAAAAATCGTTAAATTTAGTATCTATCTTTTTTCTTAGATTTTGTGATTTTCTAAGTTTGTTATAAATTATTGATGAATTTTAAGTAAAATATGCATTTATATCAAAAATTATTAACATGGAGCACCCATTATTTTTAAAACATTGATATTTTTTTAATAACTCAGTATTAATAGTTAGGCACATTTATACTACATTTATTGCTTAAAGTAAACATTGCTGATTAAATATGCTTTTTACCAAAGAGTATAATTAATATCACTGCCTATCCCGTACTTGCATTACTCAGATGTGGAACTTAATACAATGACCTATCCAGCATTATTTGAACATAGTCATCATATTGATTTACTTAATGAAAAATTACCGGAATTGATAATCAATTTTATGATGTATATAACAGGGACTTTACTGACATATTGGGATTGCAAATGATTTTTTCGAAATTAACAGTAACTTGTGTGCAAAATTTCAGATCATTCCGTTACTCTGTTTTTTTTTTAAGAATAATTATTTCTCATTGTGAAAAATGACCAAAAACTGAAAAGCATTGCAAAGCTAAATTACACTCTTGAAAATCGGGATAAGAATAGCAAAATATACAATTTTCACTTTATTTCTGAGTTTATTACTTAATTATCTTTTGTATATCTTTCTGTTTCTAGTGCCCCATTTGATCTATATAAGAAATTAAAATAGTATGTTTTTAGGCTCTTAGACATCATTGGAGTTCCTTTAAGTTTTTTTTGATGAATGACTTAAATTTTGGAAATATTAAAATGTCATAGATAATAATACTTCTCATATTACTTCTAGCAATGGATGACCAATCTATTAGCACAAAGTGCAAGGATCCTGTATTGGACAGATCTGCAACTGATCAACAGGAGATGGACATTCATGGATGGTACACCTTACAATGTACACAATGTGTGAGTATATAGTATAGTGATTGGTAAACAATTTATACAAAGTTTGAGTATACAGTACAGTGATTGGTAAACAATTTACACAATGTGTGAGTATATAGTATAGTGATTGGTAAACAATTTACACAATGTGTGAGTATATAGTATAGTGATTGGTAAACAATTTACACAATGTGTGAGTATATAGTATAGTGATTGGTAAACAATTTACATAATGTGTGAGTACCCAGTGTAGTGATTGGTAAACAATTTACACAATGTGTGAGTATATAGTATAGTGATTGGTAAACAATTTATACAATGTTTGAGTATACAGTATAGTGATTGGTAAACAATTTATACAATGTGTGAGTATATAGTATAGTGATTGGTAAACAATTTACACAATGTGTGAGTATATAGTATAGTGATTGGTAAACAATTTACACAATGTGTGAGTATATAGTATAGTGACTGGTAAACAATTTACATAATGTGTGAGTACCCAGTGTAGTGATTGGTAAACAATTTACACAATGTGTGAGTATATAGTATAGTGATTGGTAAACAATTTATACAATGTTTGAGTATACAGTATAGTGATTGGTAAACAATTTACACAATGTGTGAGTATATAGTATAGTGATTGGTAAACAATTTACATAATGTGTGAGTACCCAGTGTAGTGATTGGTAAACAATTTACACAATGTGTGAGTATATAGTATAGTGATTGGTAAACAATTTACACAATGTGTGAGTATACAGTATAGTGATTGGTAAACAATTTATACAATGTTTGAGTATACAGTATGAAGATTGGTAAACAATTTACATTATGTGTGTGTTGGCTGTAATTAGCTTCTTCCTTTTGCTCTAAGCATCAGATGATCTTATTTAGAACTTCTCTAATTTTTTGGCAGTTTAAGTATAATGTACATGCTTATTAAAATGGTTGGGTACATTTTCAGTAAATTCTGTAGTCATTCCCACTGTACCTATGCTCTGGCACAGTTCCTTTGGAAAGAAATGACAACTTTTGCTGGAAAATTGCTTGGCAGCCTGCTCAGAAACATTATGTAGGCTGAATTGTACTTTGGTGTGCAAAGTGGCTTTAGACTGCTGTGATCCAGATCGATGGTTAACTTTCAACACCAACTCCAATTGTATCCCCAGCCCTTTGCTGATGATGAGGTGACCATGAGTACATTTAATGTTTTCATAAACTACTGCTAAAACTTTGACTGAAAACATCAAACGACTAATTCAAAGATATGTTAATGATAAAGTACATGTATGTATTTATCCTTATTTTATGTTGCATTTCTATGAAATAAATGTTTTAATTTGCAGTCCATGGTATAGAAAAAAGGAAGGAGACCGGAATAGTAATTCCAATAAATGTGCAGGTTTGATCCCATACAAGCCTGATACTGGTACTATACAGGCTAGAAGATGTACAGATGGCTGGGGAACTATATGTGTTAGACCCAAAGGTATATAAACTACCCTTATCCCATGTACACATAAGTTTAAAGGGACCCCCCTAAGATCCAAAGTCCAAAAACTAAACCAAAAATATTTGATTTGTTTCAAAGATCATCTTTCAGGACATTAAAAGCAGATAATATGCAAAAAAATATAGTCAGAAATAAATTGAAAATCATATTGTTTGCCAATCTTCGCCCGATTTGAGTGAAAAGCATTGCAACGCTATTTTCAATTAAGGGTCATTTTTCATAATTTTTTTGATAATGGAGTTCACAAATTATTTGAAGTTGTGCACACAGGGTATGTGTCTTGACCTACATAAAATGGAAGATTAATCTCGAAAAAATTATTTCAAGTCCCATCTTGTCAAAAAAACCTCAGTGGAGTCCCTGTGAGAATCAGAAATTCTATAAGGATCACAGTTCATATTTTAATACTTTCCAAAAGTCTATTACTACAATATTTTTAATGTTTAATTGAATTTATAGAGACTACTTTAATGGAACAAAAATCGTGATACTGATTTAATTAAAAGTAGGATTAATATTTGAGAAATGTATACTTCTAATATTTTGAATTGTTATTTCTCAATTCATTGAAAAAGGTGAAGGTTTTCCTGATAAGCAGTTTTTAATTATTACTATAAAATGATGTACAAAAGTGTTTTTTGTGTAACAGCAAGATGCCATTAAGTTAAAAGCAGACAGATTAAAGCTGCATATTGAAGTATTGAAATAAAATAAACATCAAAATAAAATAATCCTGACCCAGATTTGTTCTTTGTCAATACAAGGCCAGAGAATTAAAAAGTGATTTTTTTACAATTGAATTGTGTATCTGAATGAAAATTGTGCTTGTTTCATTTTAATTTTTCTTTTATTTTAATTTTTCTTATTTTATTTACTGAATATTAAATTCAAGTCTAAATTTCCGTAATTAAAGATTCAAATTCCCCTTTACAGCTATGTTAGATCTATGTGACCTGGCAGATGGGTGGCAGTACCGTGACGGTAGATGTCTAAAATTCTTTGACACCCCTCAATCCTGGTATAATGCTAGGCTAACATGCCAAGCTAACCAAGGGGATCTTACTCTGTTCAAGAACTACGATGAACTTAGGAGCCTTGATAGTCTTATAACATGCCGTACATTAGACAACGTGGCTTGGATAGGACTCTCTGATACTGTATGTATAAACTCTATATAATTTATCTTATACATGTACATCATTGCATGTGACCAAAAAAAAAAAAAAAAAACAAAAAGATTGTATTCTGTTCCATAGACGGGTCATTCTATAAAAAAAAAAAAGAGTGGTAGATCTACCTGTATATTGTTTTATTATGCTCCCCGAAAAAATTTCGGGGGAGCATTTAGTCGTCGGGTCGTCCATCCTTCCGTCTGTCCGTCTGTCCTTACGGACGTCCGGAATTCGTATCCGGCCCATAACTTTGTTATTTGATTTCGGAAATTAAAACTATTTCACAGAAATGATCACCATATTGAGACGACGTGTCGCGCACAACATTTGGTTCACTACCTTGAAGATCAAGGTCACAGCATGACCTTGCAGCAAAATCGTGTCCGGTCCATAACTTCATTAATTGAAGTCGGATTTTAAAACTATTTCACAGAAATGATCACCATATTGAGACGACATGTCGCGCCCAACATTTGGGTCGCTACCTTGAAGGTCAAGGTCACAGCATGACCTTGCAGCAAAATTGTGTCTGGCCCATAACATCGTTATTTTAAGTTGGATTTTAAAACTTTCACAGAAGTGATCACCATATTGAGACGTGTGTCATGTGCAACATTTAGGTCACTACCTTGAAGGTAAAGGTCACAGCATGGATTTTTGGATTGTTTGATGTATTTAAGGTTCAGCCAAGAACATGGAGATGGATCAATAATGATACTATGAGGTATTCAAGATGGTACGCCTATGGTAACCAAATTCTGTAAGTATTTTTTTATAGTGCACCATGTGTATTTCACTAAAGTTTTAGACTTAAAGGAGCTCGGAGATCACTGACCTCAAAATGCTAAAAAAAAAATCTATAAAGTTTGAAATGTTGTATAGGTCAAGTGAAGCATCTAAAATAAAAATATCTGCAAAGAATAATACAGAAATATTCTCAAAATTAAATTAAAGGTAAGTGCAATTCTTATCCTGCTTTGAAGCTTTTCATTTTTGGTCAATTATTTGCACAGTAAAAATGAATATCCTAGAAAAATAGTTGAGGGAATGATCTGAAAATTTGCACAGAAGTGATTAGTTCAGACTTCCATTAACATTTTAATGGACTACACAAATCTGAAGAAAAAAATCCAGTTCCTTTATGTAAAAAAAACCCCACCTCAATGTTATCCCTTTAAATGTGGCATTTAACAATGTTCACTACAAATCTCCCAGTGGTAATGTTATTCCCTCATACATTGATGAAACAAAAAGAAAAAAAATCTCAAATTTATGAACAAAGAATTTCATATACATGTTCTATATTCAGATGTTTTTTATTATCACTATTACATCATTTCTATTTATAGACAAAATGGCTCTACATGTGCAGCAACTTCTCCTATAGATGGTTGGGCATGGAGGAATTATGTCTGTGATACCCAACTCAAGTTTATTTGTAATAGATCTCTCGGTAAGTCTGTATGATACTGTATATAGATTACTTAAGTACTCAGAATTGTTGGTTTGAAAACTGATTCAGAAATCTTTAGGAATCTGATTGGCTGGTTCTGAAAGGCTGATCACATTGGTTCCATAGGTTAAAGGCCCATTATGCCCCAAAATTGCTTTTATCTTCTTTTCTGAAAAGCCTTTATTTGGGTGTCCAAAAAGTTACTCATTGGCCAGTTAACTAAATCATCTTTTACTTCTGTTTCTTTTTAGCAATTAATACAGTTTTAGTGATTTGGTATTTTGTATGGAAAAAATCGGATAAAGGGTGATTCCTTGAAAGCATTAATCACAACAAAATAACATGAAAATTGCAGACATGGTTTGATTGAGTCTGCACATAAGGGATAATAAAAAGTGTAACATCCCTCATGCCCCCTAAAAATGTTGGAATCAATGAATCCGAAGGACCAGAAAATTATAACAACACTAGAATTAGGTACAGGAAACTTTTGTCAGCTGCCACATGGCACTAGACACCTGCTGGAAGTGAAAGTTTTGCTACTTTGATGACAAAGCAATTCCATTCATTGCATTATTATTCAGGCGATAAGCATCTTTAAAATGCTGTTAACTATTATTGAAACATATTATTTAATGTAATAAAACTCAACTCGTTTTTTTCCAAATTTCTAAAGAAAAAAAGAAAAAGCATCTGAGGCATAATGTGCCTTTAAAGGGTTAATGTGTTTTGTTATTTTCAGGTGTGTGTCCACCAGGTTGGTTACAGAATCAAGACAGATGTTACGATCCTAATGTTGTAGATACAGCCAAAAAGACCTGGTTTGATGCCAAAACTTACTGTGAGAGTATAGGGGCCACACTGCTTATTATAAATAAGTAAATACACCTTTCAATTAAATGCAGTGTATGAATATTTCCTTGCAAGTTTTGTTTCTGTTTTTTTTTGTGTTTTTTTTTTATAACTTTCTTTGGATCAAAGTATATTGTCACAGGGTTTCATCAGAGGTTTTTTTAGACCATTAATTTTGGCACTGATTATTACCCATACCTATATTACACCATGAAAATTTTGTTACATTCTGCAGAGAAAAGAAATTTCCACAGCTATTTTGATATACATAACATAAAATTGTAAAATTATTATTAAAGCTGCATGCCTCCAGATGATACAAAATATTTCAAGAAATTCAAACTTGAGAAAAATGTACTAAGATTTTAAGAAAAGTGAAAACATTCAGAATTCAAGTAATAATTTACTATTATGTGCAATTAATGACTGATTTTGCACTATTTATCACCATATTTCAACTGCGTGACTGAATGCAGTAAGTGCTATTTTTGCATATTTTGACATATATATTTTTTTAAGGTGGATTGTAAGTATCGTTTGTAATATGTAAATTACCTTCTTTGTTCACACAACAAAATTTTACTTTTAATAACATTTTCAAAATTTTCATGAACTTAGCCTGAATCTAAAGGCATGCTGTTTTAAGGACATTTACCCAGTTACCTTTTATGAACTCAGTAACTTTGTTGTAGTTATTTGACATTATCTAGATTATATTACAGATATGATAACAGTAAAGTCTGTATCTTCATTGATAATATGATTGTTAGATATACTTGCACTTGACTCTCAGTGTAATTTACCTCACTAAATTGCTTGTTTCGCTTATTATAAAATATTAAAGGTCCATTATGCCAGAGAAATGCATTAATTTTTATTTTTCAAAAAACTTATTATTTTTTGATGTCCTGCTTTAGTTTCTAGAAGGTTACTGATTGGACAATTATCTGAATCATCTTTTGCCTATGTTGCCTTTTGAAAGATAACACAATTACAGTATTAGTAGTATTTTGTATGGAAGTCAAAATACTAGTTTTTATTTACAGTTTGCTTTTTTCATTGCAAATAATTTTACAATCAGCACTATTTCTTTCAGTTGATATAGAGGATATTAAATGAGTGTAGTTTAATACTAAATTTATGGAACGAGTTGAATAAAATCATATTATGCGAGCCTCTGGCGAGCCATCGTCGGATACCCACGATTGATAAACATGTCACATAACATGCAATCAACCGTGGGTAAAATGAATCGATTTGCGTCGATATACAGCAACAGGTGCGTAAAATATCTACCAATGACATCGCGTTTAACAAATCTATATTCTTCAGCAGCGGAGGTAAAAAACAATAATAAACAAAATGGCAGCGCCCACGGTTAAATACTGTTGCACGTGTTTTGCTAAAATCAATGTCAAAAACTATCGCCAAATCAGTTCTTCTGCAAGCAGATATCAATCAGAAAGGAAAACATCACGCTGTAAAAGTAAATTATCTATACTTTCTTGCTGAAATCGTTTAATTTTTCGATGTTGAACTTTTCACGTCGTCTATGGTTGTCGCAATATTGTTTGTAATACCGAACGTTGTACAGAACGAGCGTTTTGATTGGTTTTAATCGCCTCATGAAATCGTGAGGCAGCCAATGAAATAGCTGCCTTTGACACACCCCTAATCGACTGAATATCGGTAAAAAATCCCACGGTAGATAAATGTTAATGGTTCGGCCGTGGGTATCCGACGATGCTGGCGAGCATAATATTGTTTTATTCAATGAGTTCAATAAATTTAGTATTGAATCTACACGAATATAATATTCTATTTATCACATATATAAAATAAGAACTGTAAACTGTTAAAATGATTAATTTTTCAATGATGCGCCTATAGTGTAACGCTAACATTAGTGCGCTTTAACGCTATGTTTCTATATAGTGCAAATGACGTCACGTCAAAGTGTTATTACACTAGTGTAATATCTTTTTTAATAAATGGCTTTATTACACTCCTGTGCTGCGGTTTATGTGATAAAACCATTTAACATGCTCGTAAACCATTATATAAATGTTATAAAACTAATGTTTGCTCTATCTAAAGATGCAAAAATTTATTCATTCCCGAGGCATAATGTGCCTTTGATTATTAACAAATATTTGTTCACTAAAATTATTTACATTATTTACCCGGGACCCTTGAAATACCGTACCACGGCTCTACTGACTGAGCTATCCAGCTGCTTACAATCTTCTCCCCTAAGTTCTGAACCGTGACATATGAGATTATTCATAGTGTAAAAAATAATGTGAAGATTAATAAGGGAGATGTTAAGTGTTGTTTATAGCCAGATTGCAGTATTATGTTAGTATGGCTTTACTGATGGACTACTAGTTCATAGATTTGAATGAAATATCTGTTGTACTTTCAGTCAAAAAGAACAGTCTTTCATCAATATAACAATGAATTCACTAAAAGTGGACAGAGCTTGGTTAGGTTTTTCAGGTAACCAATATATTTTTTTTTGCTTTTTGACAATATCTTGTAACATAGTTAATATTTTCATGATACCATAGCTACTGTTGTTGATCGTCAGTAGTTTGAAGTATATGATGTGTTGTATTTGATTGTACATGTATGTAAAATACCCCGATAAGATTCATTTACATGTCTGTAGGATACTAATCAGTGATATATCTACTATTGTTGTGAAACTATTAAATTTTGTAAATTATAATGTTATTTGAAATCTGTTTAAGAGAGTTATATCTAAACTTAGATAAAAACTATAGTGAGACTGATTGAAACATTCTTCATTTTTAGACATGAACCATTCTGATGTACATTCTTCTTTTATTGATATGAACTAGTCAGATGTACATTCTTCTTTTATAGATATGAACCATTCAGATGTACATTATAGATATGAACCATTCAGATGTACATTCTTCATTTTTAGATATGAATATGTCAGATGTACATTCTTCTTTTATAGATATGAACCAGTCAGTTGTACACTCTTCATTTATAGATAAGAACCAGCCAGGTGTACATTCTTCTTTTATAGATATGAACCCGGAAATCAGATGCACATTCTTCTTTTATAGATATGAACCATTCAGATACATTCTTCATTTTTAGATATGAATATGTCAGATGTACATTCTTCTTTTCTATTCTTTTCTACATATGAACCAGTCACATGTACATTTTTCATTTATAGATAATTATGAACCAGTCAGATGTACATTCTTTTTTATAGATATGAACCAGTCAGATGTACATCCTTTGATTATAGATATGAACCCGTCAGATGTACATTCTTCTTTTATAGATATGAACCATTCAGATATACATTCTTCTTTTAAAGATATAAACCATTCAAATGCACATTCTTCATTTAAATATATGAACCAGTCAGATGTACATTCTTCATTTATATACATGTATATGAATCAGTCAGATGTACATTCTTCTTTTATAGATATGAACCATTCAAATGCACATTCTTCAGTTATAGATATGAACCAGTCAGATTTACATTCTTCATTTATAGATATGAACCAGTCAGATGTACATTCTTCTTTTATAGATATGAACCATTCAAATGCACATTCTTCAGTTATAGATATGAACCAGTCAGATTTACATTCTTCATTTATAGATATGAACCAGTCAGATTTACATTCTTCATTTATAGATATGAACCAGTCAGATGTACATTCTTCTTTTATAGATATGAACCAGTCAGATGTACATTCTTCTTTTATAGATATGAACCAGTCAGATGTACATTCTTCTTTTATAGATATGAACCAGTCAGATGTACATTCTTCTTTTATAGATATGAACCAGTCAGATTTACATTCTTCATTTATAGATATGAACCAGTCAGATGTACATTCTTCTATTATAGATATGAACCAGTCAGATGTACATTCTTCTTTTATAGATATGAACCATTCAGATGTACGTTCTTCTTTTATAGATATGAACCATTCAGATGTACATTCTTCTTTTATAGATTTGAACCAGTCAGATGTACATTCTCTCTATAGATATGAACCAGTCAGATTTACATTCTTCTTTTATAGATATGAACCAGTCAGATGTACAGTTGAGTTCACACTAAAGGTTACACAAAGTGCACTAGGAGTGCACTAGATGTGCACTACTAGCCCACTACAAAGTGCACTACTAGTGCACTTCATAAGTGCACTTTGTAGTGCACCAGACCTATTATATGTATTAAGCAGTTACCTTTTATTTCACTGAATAGCAATTTGACTTTTACAAAAAGATAGAAAATATAGATATCTGTTTAATAGTTTTTCAATAAAAATTTGAAATTGTGATTATTGGATTTTGTAAAATATGGCGTAAAATATTAGAACAATAAATTTCAAAGTCATTAATTTTACTGATTTTGTACTTTAAAATTTAATTGTTAGAATAAGTAATTTAAATATAAATAATTATAACTTTAATGTTGATAAGTGCATAAATAAACAAACTTAATTGATATTTAATATGATTCTATTTTATTATAATCTGGTAATGAAATATGAAACATTGAAATGCTAATCAAACAAAATTAAGTCAGTTCTTTTTTTGGGGGGAGGGCGAATCATACCGTAGTATTAGTTATTTTTGATCTTAACTTATGGTTGTTTTAGTTAAAGGTAATGATTTTAAGCATTAATAGCCTTTAATACATTAAAGAATTAATATGTTTATAATTGGCCTAAATTTTGTCAATTTTATCTCATTTATAATCTCTCTTACCTTCTCAAACTGAGATTTACCTAAGATTAATATAAATGATATATATTATTCTGAAAATAAATATTTATATATAATGGTGGTATGTATTGATATGTGTGGATTAAGTATTGATATGTACCTGTGGGATACTAGTATACTTAAACTGACATGGATATTAACAAAAAGATTAGAAAATCTGGCAATTCCATTTTTTGAGACGACTAAATCTTTTTTCCTTTTTTTTTTTTCATGCATTGTAACATTATTATGCAATATGATTAATTTTATGAGTTTATTATAAATTGCAAAAATATTCATTTTTCTTTTTGTACTATTTGTAATGAAATTTATTTGCACCAACATCCAGAGAATACAGAATTTACATCGCCTAATCTGGCTTATGTTATTTACCCTGAGGGGCTCTCTTATCAGCAGGGTACTATATCAAAACACCTATACACAGCATGACTTTTGACACTTTAATCTCCTGTAACTGTTTTCTGCTCATGTACTATGATATTAAATTAAAAAAAAACAAAAAAAAAAAAAACAGATCTGCATTAAAGTGAAAAGGAAGTTGCAAAAGTTTTATAATCATGTATTTAAATAATATTTTCTTTAAAATATATTATCTTCTAAATGCGTAAAAACTGACAAGGCAAATTTGTCAAATCTATAATAGAAAAAAATAACATTTCCCAGTTCAAAAACTAAAAGATGCTGCAAATTTTAATGCAGAATTGCAAGAAATGTGAAAAAATATTGATACAAAGTCAGAAGTTTGTAGAATAGTTAACACTGACATTGGTTTTAAACCAGTTTTTTATAATAAGATTAGAAAATTCCACTTCAAAGACAATAAATGACAATAATATCTAACGTGCGTTTATGACATATAGATTATTTTTTACATTTGATTATACAAAAAGTATAGTCATTTATCGATGACTTACATGTATTTTGGGGAAAAAAAGGAAATTTTCAATAAATATTGCATACATTTGCATTTTTGTTATTTACCCTGAGGCCCTCTTATCAGCAGGAGACCAGTGTAATGAAAACAGTCGCTCTCAAAAAAATACCAATACACAGCATGACTCGAGACTAAGTTCCTCTTGTATAAAAACATCCCCTTTATACATTACATTTTTAATGTAGAAATCTTGAATAAAGTTATCAATTTTATGGAAAAATTTTAATTATGTATATCTTTAAAAAGTATGCAAGCATTTTATGGTTGAAAAACATAATATCACAGTGTATAAAATGTTTTAAAATCAATGAATTAATATTCTCTTTCAATCTTGAACATGAGGAATTGCCTCTTAAGTTATATATTATCACGGATTTATATTAATAGTATATAGTAATATAAATCTGTGATATTATTATGCAGAATGGCAAGAAATGTGGATAAATGGATACATATAGAAAATTCCGCTTTAGAGACAATAATATCAGAGACATAGATAACATCTATCTGGGAGACGCTCAAAATCCCCTTGATCATAATCCCCTTGGTTCATAAACGACATAGTGATCGAAATCCCCTCAACAGAAATGACAGGGTTATCATAATCCCCTTGGCAAAAATAAAGGGATGGTCATAATCCCCTCAGTGGGTAGTCAAAATCCCCTCAAATAATGTGAAATGGTTGGGAAATTTCTTTTCTTATTTTTCTTCAACTGCTTCAAGAATTGCTGAAAAAAAAGAGAAAAGCATACAAACAATTAAAAGGTGTATGTTTGTCACAGCCAGTTAATAATGACACCCTTTATTGATGTTATTATTGCTGAGAAAATTGTAAAATACAAACAAATAAATGATAGTTGATTATAATTAATCATTGCAATTATAGTTATATGTAACAAACAATCAATTAATCTTTGCAATGATAAACACCTTTAAAGGCAAATTTGTTGCACACTAGCTTTAGATCTTTCCAGATAATAACTTAAAATGAGGCTATTAATTGCAGTTTGCTATCTAAAATTACTTCATCTTTGTTTCTGCAAACTGCAAACTGTTATTTTGTTGGGTATATAATATGATGGCTCTCTGCAATAGACATGAATACCCAAAATGGAATTCATTACAAGTAACAAAGGTTCTCGTAAGCTTCTGTATGAAGGTTATGCCTACACAAAGAAAAATGAAAATAAGTCCTCAATGCGGTGGGAATGCTCTCAGAGAATTGGTCTGAACTGTAAAGGTGCACTGACTATTGTTTTTCACAAGTTGAGGGGATTTTGACCACCCCATCATTTTTGCCAAGGGGATTTTGACTATCCATCAAGGGGATTATGAACACCCGGTCATTTCTGTTGAGGGGATTTCGATCACTATGTCATTTTTCAACCAAGGGGATTATGATCAAGGGGATTTTGATATACATTCCATCTATCTATGTCTCTGATAATATCTATTATGCATTTATGCCTTTATGTTTTTTTTGTATATTTGATTATACAAAAATTATGGTCATTTACTGAGTGCCAACGCCTGATGAATCCCAGGCTTATGCCTAACATGCATTTTGAGAAAACCAGGGAATTTCAATGCATTCTTATAAATCTGCAAAATTGACTGTTCTTTGTTATTTACCCTGAGGCCCTCTTATCAGCAGGAGAGTGGTATATTGAAAACAGTCCCTCTCAGAAAATACCAATACACAGCATGACTTAAGATTTTCCTCTTCAATAAAAGTATTCCCTTTATACATTAAATTTTTAATATTGAAATAATGAATAAAGATATCAAATTTATTTATTTTATGGATAATATTTAAATTATTTGCATAACATATGCAAGCATTACAAAGTTGAATACTAAATTATCACAGTATATTGATTGTTTTAAAATCAATGTATTAATATTCTCTTTCAATATTGAACATGATGAATTGTCTCTAAGTTATATATTATAGAAATAATATTTTAGCTTAAATATAACCTTTCCTTGATTTGTTTGAGCTTATGAAAACAAGTTTATGATGTAACAAACTAAATTAATTGGGCCAGAATTATCCCATTGATTTATACCATTTGTACACTAGAAAAATTGAAATATATGGCCATTTAAAAAAGCTTTAAAACACTTATTTAATTATCCATTACGGAGCATATTTAAATTTAACCTTATTAATTCTATAAATTTGATTTTAAGGGGTATTATTTTTCACTTACAGTTAAATACTGGTTAATAAAAATATGATTACAATAAATGAAAAAAACATTTTAATTTTAAGCTTCAACATGATAATCACCTAAAATGTTAAAACTGCTATATTTTAAAATTTACTTATTTATACTCATGACTAGGCCATATATATATTTTTCCCAATTCTTTTTTCATACAGCAGCGTAACAATGGATGCCCCCCCCCCCCCACTTGATATACAATTATCCAATAAACCATTTAGGTGTCACCTTCCCTGGCCAGCCTGGTCATATGGTCTAGTGCACTAGAAGTGCACTTCTAGTGCACTTCTAGTTCAGCTCTAGTGCACACGGGTGGGAAGTTTAGTGTGAACTCAACTGTACATTCTTCTTTTATAGATATGAACCATTCAGATTTACATTCTTCTTTTATAGATATGAACCATTCAGATGTACATTCTTCTTTTATAGATATGAACCAATCAAATGTTTTGCAGTGGCTGGATGGAAGATCAGCCAAAAATGCGAGCTTTTATAACCTCTGGGACAGAAACTTCCCTAAACCTGTTGCAAAAAGATTTGATTGTGGTCTCATAGTTAAAGGTATAACTCTTAAGTTTGTGTTACTCATGTGTGTACATATTTTTAATGTATTATATGTAAGTGACTACAAAATTAAAATTTGTGGTTAAGGGTTAAAATCTCAATACATACCATATTTCTCCCTTACTTAGTGACAATTGTAAGTGCATATCTTAAGCATACAAAAGATAGTGACACTATGCAAGCAAAACAATATTTTGCTGACTTTGATTGAACAAACATAGGTAATTATTGGAAAAGACTGAGTATTTGATTCTATATTCTACAAATGATGGGGCTTCTTGTAGCAGAAGGGTTGCCTTTACTGATGTGGAATCAGATGTGCAGCCACCATTTTACCCTGTGTGATCATTAGAGGGGCCTAAAAAGAGTTCAAATTACTCCAGTCTATACATATCTTAAATCCAGCAGGTGAGGGTGGTTTTGGCCCATGGTGTTGCTTTAAGTTAGCTTTGTAACACTCATTGATAGCCAAATCATCTTTCCTGTTTGGTGCTATATGACCTGAATTGTGTTGGTATGCTGTAATACTAAATTAAACAAACAAATGGTGGGAAATTCCTTCGAATCATAGTCTCTAAATATCAAAACAATATCTGTTTCAAATTTTTTTTTATTTAATTTCATAATATAATGTATAATATAACTGTTTTATAAGTCTAAAAGGCCTATTATGCCCCAGAAATGCTTTTATTTTCTTTCTCTGTTTTAAAAAATTTACTCATTGGTCAGTTACTTGAACCATTTTTTGCTACTGTTGCATAATGTGTAAAAATGAATATTTTATTTTACAATTCAAAAGTAACAATACATTTTTTTTTACATATGAATATATTAATAATCCTAAAACCTTCTGAATTTAATGGACATGTCCACTTTCCATTTTTGGAACTGTCCATTATCAATTTTGGTGATATCAAGATGAAACTTTTAAGTTAGTCAGCCAACCGTATAGAGCCAGATCAGACCAGACGGTTCACTCTTATCTTGCTTTATACTGATGACAAAGGGTTACCACTCTCATTTTTAGGGTGGGTAAGTATTAATAAAGACAACCTTTTTCGTTTGCCTGTATTTAGAACTACTGTTTTTTTATTGTTCAGGTTTAATGGATTCAAGATGGTCCAATGTATATTGCTTCAAGCCGACAGCTTTCTTCTGTGAGATGTCTATCACAACAGTTCCCTTCAACCCTATAACACCACCAGGTTTGTTTACTCTTACAGTTACCTTGTTGCTAAATAATGTCAAAACTTTAAGAAAATACGTGATAATGTTACGATATTGGTAAACAAAAATCAATCTTCCCCCCCCCCCCAGTATGTGACCATGCTGGTGTATTCTTGAACTAAATTGTCATGAAGATTCTACATCAAATGTTCAAAATAAAATTAATTCTAACATGCTTCATACTAGTCCCCTATTAAACAGATAGGGCTATCAAGTGTATGATTACATGATATGCACAGCACAAAAAAAGAATGCTTACATGCCATATGATGTCAATAAACCAAATGACGTCAGGAAAATTACTTCTACGCTCAATGTAGTTTAGCATGTTTTTTTTTATCAAATCTCTTTTTAGCTCACCTGTCACAAAGTGACAGGGTGAGCTTTTGTGATCGCTTTTCGTCCGGCGTCCGGCCGTCCGTCGTCTGTCCGTAAACTTTTGCTTTAAATGACATCTCCTCATAAACCACTGAGCCAATTTCATCCAAACTTCACAGGAATGTTCCTTTGGTGGTCACCTTTAAAAATTGTTCAAAGAATTTAATTCCATGCAGAACTCTGGTTGCCATGGCAACCGAAAGAAAAATCTTTAAATATCTTCTTTTAAACAACCCTAAGAGCTAGAGCTTAGATATTTGGCATGAAACATCTTCTAATGAGTGTCTACCAAGTTTGTTCAAATAAAAGCCCTTGGGCAAAATTGGCCCCGCCCCAGGGGATCATTGATTTTCCCTATATGCATATAGTAAAAACTTAAAAAATCTTCTTTTAAAGAACTGTAAGAGCTAGAGCTAAGATATTTGGCATGAAACATCTTCTAGTGAGTGTCTACCAAGTTTGTTCAAATAAAAGCCCTGGGGTCAAAATTGGCCCCGCCCCAGGGGGTCATTGATTTTCCCTATATGCATATAGTAAAAACTTAAAAATCTTCTTTTAAAGAACTGTAAGAGCTAGAGCTTAGATATTTGGCATGAAACATCTTCTAGTGAATGTCTACCAATTTTGTTCAAATAAAAGCCCTGGGGTCAAAATTGGCCCCGCCCCAGGGGGTCATTGATTTTCCCTATATGCATATAGTAAAAACTTAAAAAATCTTCTTTTAAAGAACCCAAAGAGCTAGAGCTAGAATATTTAGCATGAAACATCTTCTAATGAGTGTCTACCAAGTTTGTTCAAATAAAAGCCCTGAGGTCAAAATTTGCCCTGCCTCAGGGGGTCATAGATTTTCCCTATATGCATATAGTAAAAACTTAAAAAATCTTCTTCTAAAGAACCCAAAGAGCTAGAGCTTAGATATTTGGCATGAAACATCTTCTAGTGAGTGTCTACCAAGTTTGTTCAAATAAAAGCCCTGGGGTCAAAATTGGCCCCGCCCCAGGGGGTCATTGATTTTCCCTATATGCATATAGTAAAAACTTAAAAAATCTTCTTTTAAAGAACTGTAAGAGCTAGAGCTTAGATATTTGGCATGAAACATCTTCTAGTGAATGTCTACCAAGTTTGTTCAAATAAAAGCCCTGGGGTCAAAATTGGCCCCGCCCCATGGGGTCATTGATTTTCCCTATATGCATATAGTAAAAACTTAAAAAATCTTCTTTTAAAGAACCCAAAGAGCTAGAGCTAAGATATTTAACATGAAACATCTTCTAATGAGTGTCTACCAAGTTTGTTCAAATAAAAGCCCTGGGGTCAAAATTGGCCCCGCCCCAGGGGGTCATTGATTTTCCCTATATGCATATAGTAAAAACTTAAAAAATCTTCTTTTGAAGAACTCAAAGAGCTAGAGCTAAGATATTTAGCATGAAATATGTTCTAATGGGTGTCTACCAAGTATGTTCAAATAAAAGCCCTGGGGTCAAAACTGGCCCTGACCCGGGGGTCATTGATTTTCCTTATATGTGTATAGCAAAAACTTAAAAATCTTCTATGAAAAAACCCAAATAGCTAGAGTTTAGATATTAAGCATGAAACATCTTTAAGTAAATATCTACAAAGTTTGTTCAAATAAAAGCCCGGGGGTCAAAACTGGCCCTGCCCCAGGGGTGTCATTGTTTTGAACTATATGTGTATAGTAAAAACTTAAAAAATCTTTTTAAAAAACCCAATGAGCTAGAACTTAGATGTTTAGCATGAAACATCTTCTTATGGGTGTCTACCAAGTCTGTTCAAATAAAAGCCCTTGGGTAAAAATTGGCCGGTGGGGGGGGGGGGGCTATATACAGGTGAGCGACCTCAGGGCCATCATGGCCCTCTTGTTTTATTAGCATTTAAGAATGGAAATAGATATTAATTTTTATTTCTACTCAAAATTGATTTCTATTTAGTAAGACAATGCATTTTAAAGTCATGAGTTTCATTAAATTGGCATGTTCTCAAGACCCGACCATGTTATACTGTGTTTATCTGACTATTAGTACCAATTTGTTGGCTCCCCTGGAGATGACGTCTAAAAAAAACTCTGAAATTTACAATGGAGTTGTGCTCTAAAATTAAATATCTGTAAATAATGTGAGTATATGAATCTTTTTATTGGACATTTGTCATCATATTTCATTTTTACATAATTTCAGTGAACTATATTTGTGATAAGGACTGGGTCCTGTATCAGACAGAGTGCTATTATTTTGGTCCAGTAGGGAATCAGTCTTTGAAGAACTGGTATGATGCCAATGATTTTTGCAAGAGTTCCGGTGCTTATCTGGTTGTCATAGGTGACCCATATGAGATGTCATTTGTTACTGGTATGTATACTAGTGCACAAGATACATGTAGTAGTGCATAAGATAGTTTATTGCCTGGCATATACCAATGAAAATTATACTTTTTTTGGACATACTGATATAATAGCAAAATATGAATATAGAGGGATCCAAAGCAAACATTATAATTATTATACTGTTTGACTGAATTTCAGGAAATAGAAAAATTTAAGAAAGAAACATGAATAAAAAAGATAACAGCTTTTTTTTTTGAAGTCCAATTTATATAATTTATTCTTGATTTGTATAGAAATAAAAAGTGCTGAAATTGAGATAATTACAGCAATATTTGTTAAAGGGGAGAATAATTTATTATGTTTTTTTGCTATAATGTGGTGATGTTGGTAGTTTTCCCTCGGATCACAACAGTAAGCCACATTGAATTCACCAGAGCACAGTTCAACCACTGCATGGGTCCTGACAGGCTGTCAAGCAGTTTACAAGTACTAGTTGCCTACACTTTCGAAAGGAACTGAAACTTCTGTACATGCCAGAGCAGAGGTACAGTGCAAATGACCATAGAAAGGATTTCATGATCAGTCACAACAAAAGGGACCCGGGCCATTCGGGAATCGAACCCGGGTCGCCCGATTCACATTCCAACACTCTACCTATTGAGCTAACTGGACAACTTATTTGCTATAATGAGTGACAGCTGTACTTAAGCATAAGAGAAAAGGCCAACAAGTTTTTACTCATATTTTTATTATTTTTTTCTTCTTCAGTTCAACAGTCAAAGATATTGACTGCCTGGATAGGACTCAAGTATGATAAGAATTTGAATACCTTCAAATGGGTGGATGGTACAAGTCCAGGACAGTACTGGGTATGATTTCCAAATTAATGTTCTAGTTAAAGTTACAATCCTGAAACTACAAAGGCTTTGCTTCCAGTAAAAAGACAACAACAAGCCATTCCATAATTATGTCTGTGCTGTCTCTGGTCAGGCACTATCCTGTTGTTTAGCTAACTCTCAAATATAATGGTCCGACCATCTCTGAAATGAATAATGGACTGTTTTAGATTTTAAAAAAGTGTCTATGACGATTCTTGAAATAAAGCAGGTCATCCTTGAATTATACTTCATGCCTTGTCCTTTTGTTTGAAGTAGGAACCTATTTCTGTTTGCCAAATCATAACCTGTAATTTACCTTATATCAAGTGTTTGTTTGGCATACATGCCATAATGTCCTGGACATCCGTAGTAGTCCCGAAAATGAGGTGTCTGTCTCGGAAATGTCCTGGTAAAAATAAAAATCTAAAACAATCCATTTTGAAGCCAGAAATTTAACATTTTTATGTAATCTTATTGTCATGTTATTATTAACTATTCTAGAATGCTTATAACAAACAATTATCCCCATACAGCATTGCAATATACAGTAAATGGTGACACTTTGCTTGCATACAAGGTATATAGAGTAAATGTTTATAAATCTATTCATCGTTTTTTTACAGGCCAATGAGACAAATTTTTACCCTGGTGAACCTGATGATTATAAGAATGGTCAGGAATGTATACAGATTGTCGGAGGTCGTAGAGATTATACGGGCTCGTGGGACGATGGTAACTGTTCCATACAACAAGGATTTATCTGCGAGAAAAATGCCGGTGAGTATGATGTCAGCAATGTATTCTTATGATGTCATATATAAATTGTTCTATATATAGCATCTCACATGTGTTCACATATTATATAAAAAATAATTAAACAATATTAAACAAACTGGTTGAAAAGGATGAATACAAAGAAACCACATTTCAATATTAAATAAATTCAAGCTATTAAAAGCATGCTTTATGGTATTTTCATGGGAAAGTTTGATAACAATTTTGTATCATTTGACAAACGGTGTATGATTCATTTCATTAAATGGCTTGACACATCGAAATTACTGAAAACTTATTTTGACACTCAAAATGCCCTTTTATACTCTTTTTTTTTTTTTTTTTTCCCCTTTGAAACTAAGCTATGAACATGCAGCAAAGACTTTTAACTACACATGCGTAATTATATTTACTGAGTGCAGTATCATAATGGCTTCATTTTGTTCTTTTTGGCATATATCTGTATTTAAATCTTATTACTTCGTATAATAATTAAAAGTTCACCACAATGATAACTAAAATTACTTTTGATTGCTCAGCCATTGAATGCCTGATGTCATCTTTTATGTTCATCTTTTTCTTGTCCTTCAATGAAAATAATTCAAAGCTCCAATTGATTTTTCATTCAATTATTTATTTGATAAGTGTAATAATTATTCAATATGTTTATGTAATGATTATCCATTAGATTTGTGTAATGTTTTTCATTTTATTTGTAAATTGTGTGATGTTTATATAATCGGAGGATGTCATAATTATCTAGTTGGTTTCTGTTTTAATTATAAATAAACATATATCTTACACTTTTTTCAGTTCCTAAAGTAATCTTGCCACCAACCGGTCCACCTGTACCTAGTAAGTCATCTTTATATTAATTTTATATAATTAGATTTTTATATAATGGTAGAATTATTGGTTAAAAATGCTTTGAGTGCTGTGTAAACATTAAATTTTGCATAAATGTTAGTGGAAATAACAAGATCTAAGTACACTCTTGTAAACTAGCAAAATATATTTTTATGTTTAAATTGAAAATTTGAAAAAGAGTTAATTGTGAATAAAAAAACAAACAAAGCAAACATCAACAAGGAAAAATAAACCCTACTGACTTCTTTTCTTGTCCTTTTTTTTCCCCCTCTAATCTTCAACATTTCAACATTACCTCGCCCTTCATATCTTGTCCTCTTATCTATAACCAAACTTCAGCCCTCACATCTTATCATTTAATCTTAAACCAAACCTTTCCCCTTTAATGGTCAACATAACCTCGACCCTCATTTCTTGCCCTCTTATCTAAAACCAAACTTCAGCCCTCACATCTTGTCCTTTAATCTTGAACCAAACCTCTCCTCTCATATCTTGTCCTCTTATCTAAAACCAAACTTTAGCCCTCATATCTTGTTCTTTCATCTTAAACCAAACCACGTCCCTCATATCTTGTCCTTTAATCTTAAACCAAACCACGCCCCTCATATCTTGTCCTCTTATCTAAAACCAGTCTTCTGCCCTCTCATCTTGTCCTTTAATCTTAAACCAAACCTCACCCATCACATCTTGTCCTCAAATCTTAAACCAAACCTAGCCCCTCATATCTTGTCCTCAAATCTTAAACTAAACCTCGCCCCTCGTATCTTGTCCTCAAATCTTAAACCAAACCTTGCCCCTCATATCTTGTCCTCTTATCTTAAACCAAACCTCGCCCCTCATATCTTATTCTCTTATCTTAAACCAAACCTCGCCCCTTATATCTTGTCCTCAAATCTTAAACCAAACCACGTCCCTCATATCTTGTCCTCTTATCTAAAACCAAACTTCAGCCCTCACATCTTGTCCTTTAATCTTGAACCAAACCTCTCCTCTCATATCTTGTCCTCTTATCTAAAACCAAACTTTAGCCCTCGTATCTTGTTCTTTAATCTTAAACCAAACCACGTCCCTCATATCTTGTCCTTTAATCTTAAACCAAACCACGCCCCTCATATCTTGTCCTCTTATCTAAAACTAATCTTCTGCCCTCACATCTTGTCCTTTAATCTTAAACCAAACCTCACCCATCACATCTTGTCCTCAAATCTTAAACCAAACCTAGCCCCTCATATCTTGTCCTCAAATCTTAAACCAAACCTCGCCCCTCGTATCTTGTCCTCAAATCTTAAACCAAACCTTGCCCCTCATATCTTGTCCTCTAATCTTAAACCAAACCTCGCCCCTCATATCTTATTCTCTTATCTTAAACCAAACCTTGCCCCTTATATCTTGTCCTCAAATCTTAAAGCAAACCACGTCCCTCATATCTTGTCCTCTTATCTAAAACCAAACTTCAGCCCTCACATCTTGTCCTTTAATCTTGAACCAAACCTCACCCGTCATATCTTGTCCTCTTATTTAAAACCAAATTTCAGCCCTCATATCTTGTTCTTTAATCTTTAACCAAACCTTGCACCTCATATCTTGTCCTTTAATCTTTAACATAATCTTGCCCCTCATATCTTGTCCTCTTATCTAAAACCTAACTTCTGCCCTCACATCTTGTCCTTTAATCTTAAACCAATCCTCGCCCCTCATTTCTTGACCAAACCTAGCCCCTCATATCTTTTCCTCGAATCTTAAACCAGATCTGGCCCCCTCATATCTTTTCCTCTTATCTTAAACCAAACCTCACCCATCACATCTTGTCCTCAAATCTTAAACCAAACCTCCCCCCTCGTATCTTGTCCTCAAATCTTAAACCAAACTTTGCCCCTCATATCTTGTCCTCAAATCTTAAACCAAACCTTGCCCCTCATATCTTGTCCTCAAATCTTAAACCAAACCTCACCCCTCATATCTTATCCTCTTATCTTAAGCCAACCCTCGCCCCTTATATCTTGTCCTCAAATCTTAAACCAAATTAGCCCCTCATATCTTGTCCTCAAATCTTAAACCAAACCACGTCCCTCATATCTTATCCTCTTATCCTAAACCAAACCTCCCCCCTCATATCTTGTTCTCTAATTATTCCTTTTGTCATTAATTTTAGCACAGATATCCCCGCAGTGTGGTTTTGGCTGGATATACAGCCCTACCAGTAATTTTTGTTACCAAGTTGTGCTTGGTATACCAAGAACATGGCAAGGTGCTAGAGCATACTGCCAACAGAATAATGGTGATCTGCTATCTGTATCTGGTGTTCAAGAACAAAATTTTATACAAGGTAAGTCGGATGGACATGACTGTTATCAATGACCAGTAAATCAGCCCTTCTTCACTTAAGATGCTTTCGAACCTTAGTAATATATGGACAAAATTGAATAAATAATGGCTGTTTTTTTTTCTATAGGGAAAAAGTAACATTTATATGACATGTGCAGTAATATAATTTGAATATACATCATGTGTATGAAAATTTGTCTTCTACGATTTCACTTAAGTGGAAAATAAATGATCTTTTTCATGGAAATTTAGTAAAATCATGGCAAAATATGAATACAGTTTTTGTCACTGATAACACTGTCTGCTGTAATAAAATTGTGGGATTTTTATTCCAGCGCTTTTGTCATCCCCGAAGTATGCAAGGTTACAGCTAAACTTTTGGATAGGAGCCACAGACCAGACACAAGAAGGAGGTTGGCACTGGGTTGATAACACACCATTTAGGTAAATAATTATCTATACGTGTACATTAGGGGAACATATGTAATTATTCAACTCTAATTAATAATTTCTTTTTTCTTTCTTTTTTTTAAACAACAAAAAAAAACTAGTAGTGCATTTGAAGGAAAGGAGCTGCATGTCAAATGAAAGACATATAGGCTAATACATTATTTTGACTTATATTTCCTGGATTGTTTTGGATAAACAAGTTTCTTTAACTGGCATACTTCAGATATACACTTTTTAGTCCCCTACCGGTTTACCGGAGGGGACTTTAGGTTTACCCTCCGTCCGTCTGTCCATCTGTCCGTCCGTCTGTCTGTCAGTCCGTCAGTCCGTCCGTCCACAAAACTGGATCCCGCGATAACTTGAAAAGTACTGAAAATATTTTTATGAAACTTGGTATATGGATAGATGGCAGTATGGAGATTATGCAAGTCTTTTTATTTTCTTCCTATGTTGAAAATTCTGGTTGCTATGGCAACAAATAGGCTGAAAATATGGCAAATTTTACACATAAACTGGATCCAGTGATAACGCAAAAAGTACTGGAAATATTTTTATGAAACTTGACATATGGGTAGATGGCAGTCTTGAGATTATGCACGTATTTTTAGCTCGACTTTTCTATGAAAAGGGGAGCTATCCTACTCGCCCCGGCGTCGGCGTTGGCGTCACACCTTGGTTAAGTTTTTCGTACCACCCCACTTTATTTCAGAAGTATTACAAGTATGGCTTTGAAACTTACCATACTTGTTCACCATCATAACCTCCATCTACAGACAAGAGTACATAACTCTGTCAAGGTTTTTGACAGAATTATGGCCCTTTTTTGACTTAGAAAGTGTATTGAGCTTGGTTAAGTTTTTTGTACCACCTCACTTTATTTCAAAACCATTGGAGGTATTGCTTTGAAACTGACCATACTTGTTTACCATCACGACCTTCATCAACAGACAAGAGGACATAACTCTGTCAAGGTTTTTGACAGAATTATGCCCCTTTTTGACTTAGAAAATACATTGAATATGGGTAAAATCCACTTATTGCCTTAACCCTTTGAGATATTGCTTTGAAACTTTTAATGCTATTTCACATCATTACCCCATCTGTACGCAAGAGAAGGTAACTCTGTCAAGGATTTGTTTTAAAAATTAAGGCCTTTTATCGACTTAGAATCTTGGTTAAGTTTTTAGTACCAGTCCACTTTTTGACTGAACTGTTTGAGATATTAATTTGAAAGTTGGAATACTTGTTTACAATCATGATTCCCAAACATGTCCAGGAGAAGGTAATTCTGTCAAAGATTTTATTTGAATTATGGCCCTTAACTGTCAATGTTTTGTATTATAGGCAAGCACTAAAAAACTTAAAAAATCTAAAAAAATTCATTCCTATCCACTGAACCTGCAGTGTTCAAGGGTATCACACAATTCAGTAAAATAATTCTTCACTAAATATCTTAATGCTCATGGCCATTGTTCACTTTAAAAATACAGAGATTCTTGTATTGCCTTTTACTGCAAAAACTTTTTTTATTGGCAAGCAATAAAAAAGTCGAGCGCGCTGTCTTACGGACAGCTCTTGTTCTTTTCTTCCTATGTTGAAAATTCTGGTTGCTATGGCAACAAATAGGCTGAAAATATGGCAAATTTTACACATACACTGGATCCAGTGATAACGCAAAAAGTACTGGAAATATTTTTATGAAACTTGACATATGGGTAGATAGCAGTCTTGAGATTATGCACGTATTTTTCTTTTCTTCCTATGTTGAAAATTCTGGTTGCTATGGCAACAAATAGGCTGAAAATATGGTAAATTTTACACATAAACTGGATCCAGTGATAAGGCAAAAAGTACTGGAAATATTTTTATGAAACTTGACATATGGGTAGATAGCAGTCTTGAGATTATGCATGTCTTATCTGTTCTTCCTATATTCAAAAAATATCTGTTGCCTTGGCAACAAATAGGCTTAAAACATGGCAAATATAACAATATTTGTGATTAGTCAAAAAGAACTGAAAATTTTTATGAAATTGCATCTTTAATTCAAGAGTTATCTCCTCTTTAAGAATTTTGCTTTTAAAATGTTATATTTTGGTAACAGGGATGTTTCAAATATTAACTTTAGAGTGTCCTTCAGTCCATCTGTCTGTCTGTTCATAAAAACTGTTTCCTGTGATCACTTTTAAAGAACTTTTCCAACAAATTTACTTAAAATAGAGAAAAATTGAAACATTAGTGAATGGCCAATGGCCCTTCAGAATGTTGATGGGGTTCTAACCGGTAGGGGACTTATGGATTGCTTGCAATACTATGATAATTGCTTGTTTTATATGGTAAGTGTATATTAATCTCCTGGTTATTATTTCATGTTAGAAGATGTATTATTATGTATCCTTCAGATATTTGAACTGGCACCCAGGAGAGCCTAATAATGTAAGGTTTGGTGTTGAGCCTGAAAATTGTGCTGAGATGGTTCCTAGCTGGAATTATCAGTGGAATGACAAATACTGTAGCAAGGAAGAAGTCTTTATCTGCAAGAAAAATGGTATTTGTATCTTCTTAGCTGTTTTTTCTTTTTCATAAAAAGTACATATTTCATGCATTTGAAGAAAAGGATCTACATGTCAATTCAATGTTCTTTTTGTAGTTTCTTTCTTCAATTTGATTAACCGTTTTATGGTCATGTTAAAGTAACTTTGTCTCAGGATAACACATATGCCAAATTTATATAATTATAAACTTGCACTTGATAATTCTTGCATTGGTTTTATTTTTACTTGTGAAGTCAATGTTAAGTTTATGATGGATTGGACAGAAATAATTGACATGATAAAGGTGCCAGTTTGCCTCTCAAGCTAGAGATTGTGAGTTCAAGACCAAATCGGTCACAACCCAGTTTCCTTATATACATATACCTAGATTGATGATGCTTGAATGCCTATCAATTGTAAGTTAACATTCCATAGCCATACAACAAAGGTTTGTTTATGTAAATAATCTTTGTTTGTTTCAGCTTTGACCACAACTGCTTTAACTGTGGCTCCACCAACAGGTTTTAATAAAGGTAATGTAGTAAATATAATTAATTAATTTTGGATTATTGATTTTAGTATTTTGTAATAGATTTGTAGTTTTACTGTGTTTTTCTTTTCTTTGACCATAATATCACATTATGAAAATTGTTCATAAGTGGTTAGAGAATAAATTTTGTATGTGATGGTGATTCATTCTGTATAGCTCAAAAAGCCCAATGACCTTTTGGTTACAAATAATAGTTATGGCCAAGATTTTTTTGTGAAGCATTCTAAATGTGAAAAAAAAAATATTTAAATGACAGAAGCTGTCAAAACTCAGTCTTTTAGCAGTGCTAGCACAGGATCAAAACAGTTTTTACAAGATTTTGTTCCTTTAATGAAGAAATAATTTATCCCAATCAGCAATTTTATCGTTAAATAAAATCAGTTATTTTTTTCAATTCATGCATCACACTTGATATATTTTACATGTTTTATTATTTGTTCACAATTTACGTGTGTTATTATTTCACATTTTACATGTATTATTGTTTCACATTTTACATGTGTAATTTATACAGGTAATTGTAAAGGAGAGGCTATGATATCAGGAAACTACAGTCTGGTAGATAGTGGTTCATTTAAATCTTCTCCTCCAAGAGATGCTCAACATACAGCCCTTAATGCTAGACTCTTCCCAAATAATTTACTAGGTATGTGTACTATTTAAACATTCATCACGGTTGTACATTTTAAATAATCAACCCTTACAACTTTAAATATCTTAAATGTACTTGTCCATCTTTACATCTAAACATGACCATTTATCATCTTTAGGGAAAATTTTCAGTACATGTATACATACTGAGTGAATAGTGATCAGTGCAGACCCTGATCAGATGACACAGGTTGATCAGATGACACAGGTTGTCTCCGAAATGACACTTATGCTAAGACCCTCTTATAAGACAGGTAGATTTTTTTTAAGGAAAAATAATAATACTGCACCTCAGAGTTTTTATGGAAAATTGTCATAAATCATGAAAATGAATTGAGTGATCAGGTGAATGAATAACCATTTTCAAAAAGAATGTAATTTATTACATTAATAATAATTGCAGCAGTATTTTTTGAAATTTTTATTACAACTATATTTATCGATATTGTAATTACAGCAGTATTTGTTGATATTTTTATTACAGCAGTATTTGTTGATATTCTAATTACAGCAGTATTTGTTGATATCTTTTATTACAGCTGGGGGAGGCTGGTCAGCAAAAACAGCTGATACAAATCAGTATATAACAGTGTTATTTTATAACACTATAGTTGTGAAAGCAATTATTACAGCTGGACGGACGGACGTTGATGAATGGGTGTCACAATATCAAATACAATACCAGGAGACATACTACTCAGAATGGTTGAAATACAACGACCCACCTGGTACTGTCAAGGTAAACATCTCTCTCAAAATGTATATATCAGTCATTCATCAAAGTAGTTCTGTAAAAGGAAAACTCTCTCTTGCGTACTTGACTTAAACCATAACTACTGTGGACCTGGTTTCTAGAAATATGGATTCAGATCAACCATTGGACAACTTATGATTGATTACATCCTTTTCCAGAACATTTTAAGGAACTCCACTGAGGTCCACACCCTTAAATACAAAATTTGAATTTCTTACAAAGAGAACTTAAAACAGAAATATATGCAAAAGATATTTAGAAATATACAAACATGTACTCAGAAATAAATAGAAAATCATATTTTTGTGCTATTAGCTTGAATTGAGTGAAAAGTATTGCAAGGCTTTTCAATTTTGTGTCATTCCTTACCATAAAAATAGTCATCCTGGAAAAACGGAGTGATAGAATGATCTGAAATTTTGCAAAAAAATTATTGGTCTAGACCAATATCAAATGAAATATTAATCTCAAAAAAAATTTCCAGTCCCATTATGTCAAAAAACTTCAGTGGAGTCCCTTTAAAATAAAATTTCTTCTGATTGGTAATCATTGATTAATTTTCAAACCATCATCAAGGTAAAAATCTAAAAGATAATGCTATCTCGTATTGTGAAAATGCTAATTTTTCTTCTTGTTTTCAGATATTTTCTGGCAACAATGATTCAAGCACTCCAGTCACTAACACCTTGTTCTTCCCATTTGAAGCAAAACAGGTGAAGTTAATTCCTGTCCAATGGAACCAGGGTATATCCCTTAGATTAGAAATTCTTGGTTGTCTAGAAGGTACATTGTTTATTTCTAGATGAATCTATTAAGTACCCTTCCTGATAAATAACATTGTTATTTAGAAACAACAAAGCAACAATTTTAGTCTTTAGAATTTTAGTTTTTCTATTCTTTTAGAAATAGAATTATATTTCATTGAGTTGTTTGGTTTTACAGTTTGTGTATGTGACACTTAAAAAACAATAATTTTTATTGATGCAGATTGGATAAATATGAAAGATTAAGCAAGAGCTTATTATTCATGAAGCAAAACTAGACACTTCGGCTACTGTTCCTCATTAATTAATTAAGTATACATTTCAAAGGCAAATTCTTAAATGCCCTGTGAATGTTTATCCCAATAAACATGAATGTATATTTGCATGTTTTAGAGAGTTGTATACCTGATTATGCCGTGAGCGGACCTTTGGTTGCCATGGATGGTCAGTTACAATCATCAGGGTTTTCCGACATTGCACATGATGCCAAAGCTGCACGGTTACGACCAGTTACACAGGGTGTGACACCAGCATGTTGGAAACCTCAGATCTCGAACACAAATCAGTGGATTCAGGTTTGGTTGTATTTCATGGCTTTATGTCCTTTTCATATTATGATGACCAAAATCCTTGAAAGATTTTATGTTTGTTTTCTTGACATGTACTGTACATGCCCACTTCAGAGATCAAAAAATTCCACTTGTTCACTTGTAATTACGATAAGAATTAAGAGAACTTGGTGCAGGAGGAGTAGTAAAATGTTGCCTGCACATTGAATGTAAAAGCTACTCATCCTGCAGGACGAGTGACTTAAATAGTTTTCGATGCCTGCGCTTATAAGGCGCCTTTTTTTTTTAAGAAATTGAAGGTAGATAACATAAAAATATCGCAAGATAGAAGAAATTTGTAAATTTTTCAATCAATTTTTTTGTAGTATTTGATTATAAGATGCATTACCCACTCTATTTTTGAAATTTCTCCAAAATGCGTCTAGTAAGTGGAAGTTTTTCATGTTTTTCCTCTGATGTTTGTTCAAAAGTATATGCTTTAAACACTAAGAATCATTCATTAATGCTGAACTTTATATTCTAACACTATCGGAAATTTTCCTATATAGACAAAGAAGGCCGGAAGCGTGCATTATTCTACAACAATGCACTCGCCGTTCTTATTATCTCCCTGTGTATTTTCACATTGAGAGCGCCATTTTGTTTAAAAAATCTGATAAATAAAAACAAATTTTTGTCGAACTTTGTTGTGAAAACTATCTAGAATGAAGGAAAATGGTCTAACTTAGAAAATGAATCCGAACACCAATATCTTTAATTCAGTCGTTAACTCTGTACATGCGTTTAAAGTGTTGTTTACGTGACATCACAATGTAGCGCCAAACAGCACGTGCAAAACAATCAAATCAAGTACACTATTTTAATGTCGCAAACGAATAAAGTTTTACATAATTATTTCACTTTTAATAATTTGTAATTCGCTTGAAAAATAATAGAGTGAAATAAAATAAACAAAGTTTTATCAACCTTTTCAAAATTCGTTATTCTCAAAATGTTTCTACACACGGTAGATTTAACGACAGTTTTTTCAACCCACTGGAATAGCCTTTTAAGAACATTTCTATTGGAAACTCTGAGGCGAAAACAAATTTAACCACCAAACATAAAGTCCAACTTTATAATAATAATTATATTTTGTCTTGACGTGTTAGAATGGAAATAGATATTAATTATTCGTGCATTATTGTATAATAATGCACGTTTTTCGTTCAAATGCTTTGTAATTAATCACTCAGGCCTATCGGCCTTCGTGATTATATTACTACGCATTTGAACTCAAACCGTGCATTATTCTACAACAATGCACTCAGAATTGATATCTATTTCCTAATTTGATATTATAATTTATGTTACTTTGTTTTATAAAAGATTTTTCTTTGTTGCTTGGAGATTTTGTTCAATTATCTGACTTGAGGTTTATTACTATACGATCTGTTTGTTTTCATGGTTGCAGGTAGATTTGGGTAATATATTTTTGATACGTGGTGTAACAGTGAAAGGTAACCCGGCAGCTCAAGAATGGGTGACTCAGTTTCGCTTGAAGTACGGCACAACGAATACCCCGTCTCTCTATTACCAGGAACCGTACGGAAAACCCAAGGTTTGATCTTACTTTTAATTTGATTTAGTATTCTTTGATTTTAAGTGACCTTGACACTGTAAAGGTTAGTTTGGTATTTTCAGGAGACTTCAGTTACTACTGTGTGCATTACATGTATTTCTGGCATAAATTGGGGCACCTTGGTATAATCACCAACCCCCATTAACCAAGCTGAATAGAAGGAATCCAATGTTATGGATGGATTTTAAACACACAGTGGTGAGAACAATCAAATTGAAGCCAGCAACCTTTACCACATGGCCACAGAAGTTCCTCTATTTTTAACTTTAAATTAAACTATCAGTAGGTTGTTAATAAGTGAATGACTTGTGGTGAGAAACTGAATTGTAAAAAATGTCAAAAAGAAACAATATGTTGAGGATAATGAATATCTTAATATTTTTTATTTTTGCAATTATCTTTAGTGGATGAAACATTTAGATATTCATGATGCAAGTGACATTTTACATGTATAGTGTACATTGTTTTACCAGTTTGCAAAATAAGACCTAATATACTATTATTAAATTTTGACAATGTTTCTGCTGTGTATATCTTGCTATTTTCTGTTTATTTTATGTAAAAGGCAGTTTCTCAGGATAGTTAAACCATACATGCCATAATGTCCCAGACATCCGGGAATGTCCCACAAATAAGGTGTCTGTCCCAGAAATATCCCAGACATAATTTATGTCCTGGTAGAAATGAAAATCTAAAATAATCTTCTTTGCAGCCAGAAGTTCAACTTAAACTTTTTGTTCAACCTTAATTTCACAAAATTTCTCTATTTGCTAGAATATCCCAGGAAACGTTGACAACAGTTCTCCTGTAACATACTACTTCAAGTCACATTTTCAAGCTAGATTCATCAGGATAGTCCCCAATGCATGGCATACCAATATAGCACTGGCCTTTGATATCCTGGTTTGTCAAAATGGTGAGTGGTGGTTACCTCCCTTGTTTTGTACTTGTTAATTATAAATCAAATACTTATTTTAATTTCTTTAGAGAAAAGAAACACTTTATGAAAAAAAAGGAGATAGTTTCAAGTTAAATCTGGGACAATGAACTGGACTTAAGCACCTTAGCAAGTTATCTATTCATTCAATCTGGTGCGTGAAGCACAATTTTAATTGTCATTCTGATTGTAATGTGGAAATGTATTTTTTTGTAAAATCATGTAGTAAACAGTTAAGATATGATAAAAGTCAACTGGAGTAAGATTTTAACAGTCCTTTACTACCAAACTTGATATTATGAAAATTTAAGAACATTAGTTGCTTTCAATTAGACATCCATAAAAGACCACCTATCAAAGTTGGTAGTTTGCTTGTCTTGAGGTCAAAAATATGATTCAAAGTTCTCTATTTAGCTTTAATGTTTTTTGGAGTGAATAAAGTGTATGTTCAGTGGATAAGACCATTACAGAACTTTAACAATTACAGTGATTTTTCCCCCTGGTAATTGATATTCTATGACTTTATGACATGTCAACATTGTTGTTACAGGATGTAATGGTGTTGCATTGATTAAGTGGGGGCTCACCATATTGCTGATGATGCAGCTGAGTGCATCTTCCGTCCTTGACACTCGTCATACTAGTGGCACCGAGCCCAGGACTTCAATCTTCCAGCTAACGGAGCTTTACGCTGGAGCATGGATACCTTAAATACAGTGATAAACAGCAGTATTTGAAAGTATCACTGAATTCTTACTAAATATTGCAATAATGTATACAGTACAGAAAGTTCGCACTGCTTAAATTATCTTACATCTAATTTGCATACAAAACTTATTTATCTCTCACAAACAGAATAAATCAAATCTGCAGTTATCATCTGTGTATTATTTTTTCACTGCTGTCCATGAAACTGCCCTTTCCTGGAATTTTGTAGCCATGATTTTTGTTATTTTTCTGCCATAACATTTAACAAAGAAATAACTATATTTTGTGCGCAGATTTTTCCATGAAGTTATCAAAAATGTATTCTTTTCATTTCTCAATTCAGCAAAAAAAATGGTATAAGCCTTTAGATTAGGAAAACATATTATTGTAGACAGATTTGTGGTTCATTGAAAGGTACCTGTCAGTCCACTTCCGAATAAAGATCACCCTTTACAGAATTTATTTTTAGTTCGATTGTGTAGGAAGCTTTAAGCTTATAGACACACTTTCCAATCTGTTCCTGGAACGTCCACCCAGTACTGAGCAACAAGTGTAAAGTTTCTTGCTCAAGGAAACAACGACTGGCCCCTGACGGGGTTTGAACCCATGCGGCTAGCGATCATTAGATAACTAGTCTGAAGCGTTAACCACTCAGCCATGCCGCCACTAACAATTCTTCTTTGATTAAAGAGAACAAAAATAATCTCCAAATAAAGCCCTCATGTGTTTGGGCTCTCCAGTGTATGACCTTTACTCACAGGTTTGACTGTAATTTTATAATAAAATAACTTGTACAACATTTTTCAGGCAGATTTAGGATTTGCAATACAGATTACAGCTGTAAGCACACAGGGGGCATTTGACTCAGCTGACTGGGTGAAAAGTTATAAAATCAGTTATTCCAGTGATAACCAAAAATGGGTGTATTACTATGAACTAGGATCTCAACCTAAGGTAAGATTTCAAAAAAAAATTAATAATGGTAGGGTAAGTGTTACATTTGAATTGTTTCATCTATGTGAAAATAATAATATACAAGCACTTCCACATACATTTAAAGTTAAATGTAATTATACAAGCTTTTTTTTTTGCTGTGAAGTGTCCTGCAGCCAAAAGAAAATAGAGGCTATTGAATAAGTGTAGGTTCGGTGCTGAATTTATTTATATGTGTGTAGCTTATGAATTTGTCTGTTACTATGGAAATGGCTATTTGAAATGAAGAACAATAAAAGAATTACATTGATACTTTTTACAAGATTTTCTCCCTTTTTGTGTTTTGCTATTTTCTGTACAAAAAAAAATATTTTGTAGGTTTTTGATGGAAATTGGGAAAACCGGATAGCCAGGAAACACTACTTGTTGGTACCTTTTATAGCCAGATATATTCTCATATACCCACAGTCTTGGAACAACAGGATTGCTTTACGATTTGAACTCTATGGATGTCCAGGTATGTTTGCATTTTTTTTTCAATAACACTATTTATTATTACCTGTATATCAAATGAAACAATTGTTTTATGAAACATTATCTTGTATTATTGGAAACACATTTTTTTCTGGGTTTGTTTTTACGTTCACAGTAGAGGTCATATGGTTACTTTCTTGCTTTACTGGTTTAGGAAGACCTCAGATGCCTGTCTGTGCATTATTTTAGGCACCTGATTACCAATGATTTTCCGTAAGCTAGCTGGATAGCTTCCTCACATGAAATAATCCAAAGTTCCTGTTGGGATTCAAACCCACAGCAGTAAGGGGAAAGTTGCTTGAAGTCAATAACAGTTACCAGTTGTCCATGGATGCCCTCAATTGGAAATTCATAAAAGAATAAACATCCACAACCCAAGAGACAAATATATACCCTTGTTTAAATTGCTTGAAGGTTAAGGCTGTAATTTCCTCAAAAACGACTTTAACAAAGAAAGAAAAAGAGTTCAAACACTGGATATTACATGGTCAAAGGAAAATGAAGGAAATACATGGAGAGAATTAGAGAATACTTTCAACTGAATCATTGTCTAAATTGATTACTATGTTATGCTTCACCCTTTCAGTTAACTGATAGAAAAGTTGTGAGTACTTTATGATTGCATAATTGTCACTTTTTTTCACCATAACTTGGGAGATTGCCCTTTGTGGCAGAGGAGTTGCTTTTAAAGATTGAGGCATCAGAATTGCAGCCACTGTTTAACCCTGGGTGATCAAAAGAGGCGAGTAAATGGGTTCAAATTACTTGATTATATGCATCTCTTAGCCCCAGCAGGTGAGATGGTTTTAACCCATGTTGTTGCTTGTTTATAACACCCACAGTTAGCCAAAATCATCTTTCCTGTTTCAGCACCATATGACATAAACTGTATTGGTACACTGTAAAACAAAACAAAAACAAACAAAGTAACTTGGAAAATTGCAATATAATTTAATTTGAAACCAAATCAAAATTGACATGTTTGTTTGTAGGGGCAGCATCTGGTGTAAGAATTGGGTGTTACGCTGATGATGCTCATGATCGAGACCTCAAGTACGAGCCCTACACTGACCCCAGGGTGGGCATGTGGCCTCCCATGTGTGTTGACCATTGTTTCAGAAAGGGTTACTATTATGCAGGTCTACAGGTAACTATAGCAACGTTTGTACTGTAATTTTAGTGTATATATCAAACAATCAGCATGAGTTTCATTTTTTTGCTGCCTTTATTAAGGTTTCTATCTTTCATTGTTTCTTTTTTGTTAAGAGCACTTTATTTAATCTAGATTGACTATTGATATTACAAATTTATTCATATTCATTGAAATTACATGGCTGTATATATTTGTATGTTAGGATTTTGCATTTTCAACTTTCTAAGCGTGTAAAACTTTATGAAAATTTAAATTTTAACTATTTATTCATGTTTATTTTAGAATCAATTTAAATGTTTTTGCGGGAATTCCTATGGAAAGTATGGCCCCGCCACAGACTGCAACCAGGCATGTTTTCCCAAGACAAACTTCCAGTGTGGTGGACCCTCGTCAAATATCATCTATACAACTGGGATGTGTAAGTCTGTTTCATGTACAGTAGAATCCCTACTTAAGACCACCCCAGAATTAAGACCACCCTGCTATTAAAACCATTTTTTAACATATTTACATGTTCATTTTGCATAAAGTATAGGTTCATACATGTTTTGGCAAAATAATTGATAGCGAATCAATTGATATCAATTTAATTCTCTCTGACTGGTTTTTATAAACATTTTTTACAAATACTATTTTTTACAACAAATTTTGAACTATATACAAAGTATTTAACTTTCAGGCAAAATTGACAAAAGTCAATAAAATCTTTAATATTACGAAGAGGAAATGTAATTTATTTTTTCACTTACAGCTCCAGAATTCAAGATCTGCCCCAACAGACTGGAAAGTCTTATGGTAATAGATGGCTATGTGCTGCTCCAGACTAAACAGTCCTGGTACGATGCCCGGGCAAGCTGTAAAGGTCAGGGTGGTGATCTAGCCTCGCCAAACAGCCAGGCAGAGCAAGATTTTGTGTTTAGTTTGCTGGAATATGCAAGTAAGTGACTCACTGATATAAATTACCTTTAAACTAATAATGACTTTTTTTATTCCCTCCACACTTTCAATATGTCTTAAAGGTCCATTCTTGTATGTTACAACTCACAGCAGCTATGTCCTTCAGTTGATTAGAGAAATAAACGTAAGCATTGCTGTGTGCTGTCTATGATAATATTATTAAAATATTATACATATATATAGAGAATATTTCATATTAAATTTTAATTTTTAGTTGAAAATCAAATTCTAGAATTTTTTTTATGTTAGGATATTGATAATAATACAATGGTATTCATCCTCAATAACAGTATTGCAATATATACACACACAAAGATTTTCTAAATTTCAGATATTTCCTCTAATTTTCTAAAATAGCTAGATTGTGTTGGCTTTTTTTTTTTAGACAAACAGAAATACATGGATAGGATTTAATGATATACAACGCGAAGTCTCTCTATAGGTGGGCAGATGGGTAGCCAGGTGAAGTATACAAAACTGGGGATTAAACCAGCCAAGTCATACATTAAATGACAACCAGGACTGTGTTTGTCAATGCAGAATATGTGGTACACTATATAAATATATTTAACAGAGTAAAGCATACATTTGTGAAAGATATTTTATTGAAATATATACTGTCACACTGTTTCAGTAATTTTTATAATAGTTTAATTTTTTGTCGTAAGAGTTTTAGAAAACAGTGTTTTTGTTTTTAAATGAGTTCCTGCAACTTACCAGTTCTGGTACCATACAAGGAAGCGTAGTTCTTACCCAAGATGGCCTGGAAAATGGAGACAAAAGGAATCCCTAACGAACCTGCAAAACCTCTAAAGTTGCAGCATGGCAGAATAGTTAACTTGTCTGACTAGTAATCAAAGGATCACTATCTGTGTGGGTTCAAACCAAGTCAGGGGCGTGCCATTGTTTCCTTGAGCAAAAAAGTTATTGCTCAGTACTGGTTGGTTCCTGGAACAGGTTCCAGAGTGTGTCTAAAAGCTTCCTACACATTCCAATTAAAATAAATTCTAAGTGTAAAGAAGGAGATGATGTAGAATGCACATCAAATAAATGCTGTATAAACCAACCTCCAAAACCACAGGAGACCTTGTTACAGAATACAGAAGCAGACACCTTTACCACTAGGCCATTTGTTTCCCCAAATAAATTTCCTATGATATAAAGGTAGTTATTTGATAAACTATTATTTTGTGATACAGTCTGGAGGTTGGCAGGATGAATCTTGTGATGTCAGTCACATGTTCGTGTGTCAGATGGACAAACGTAGATCCAGTCAGCCCGCCTCAACTGTACTACCTGATGGGTGTCAGAAAGGCTGGGATGGGTATCGGTGGTCATGTTACCTGTATGCTGATGCTAAAAGGACCTGGCAAGATAGCAAAGCTGTGTGTGAAACTCTGGGAAGCTTCATTGGGTTAGAATAAGTGATAAGTAAGTTAACAGATTACAATTTCATAAGCATTATTAATTCAAAACGTTGCTAACTTTTATGTCTGTAATTGCATTTGAAGAAACATTCTTATAAACTAGTCTTGTGAAAATAAATTCATGTTTGGCTTGTAGAATGATATTTTCTAAGTGAAAGTTACTGCATTTTTTTCACCATATTTTAGTCTATCAGTAACTAAATTCATCACTTGTAACAGTTGATTTTGTTTTTTTGTTGGTGATAGGTATGAACAAGCGTACCTGGCAGGTGTGTTGGGGAGTAGATCAGGACAGTACTGGATAGATGTAAATGATCTAGCTCAACCAGGAACCTATCAGCATACAGTTGGGAGACACTACCTAGACTTCACTAATTGGGCCCAAAATAAACCAGGTCAGGTTGTTTATATACTTGAGATAAGTTTACATCAATGAAATCCAATAAAGTACAATACATCATTTTAAACTAAGTTTTCTGAAAGATAACACTGATTTTTAGAATTGTTAACCCTGGATGGCAGATTGGCAGGCAAAAACAATTCCTTTTGTGCCATACTCATATAATTTTCAACAGATTTTCAATCAAACTGTCAGAGAAATAATGTCACAAAGTACTCTGGAACCTTTTTTCTGCTGCACTTTTTGAAGAAAAAGCTGAACTACTGTCATGACCCACTTTTTTTGGAGAAAAGTGGAGACTGCTGACAGCTCTTATCAATGTGGCAGGGTTTTCAAACACCTTTTATTGTACACTTTCAATTTTCCACCACATTGGAATACAAGATGAAACAAACACTTAAATCCACTGATTTTTTTCACATTTTTGGTTTATCACTAGTTTACTTTCTACTATAATGTCCAACAAGTTAAAAATCAAAGTATATATTTATACCAAATTGTTCTCCCAAAAGACCATTAAAAATCATGACTTGGAGTAAACACACAGTGATTTTCTCATTTAAATAGGAAGAGGCCTTAGCCTCTTGATTTGTGGGAAAAAATTTTCGCTAAAATTGCTGATTTGGGAAGTAAAAAGCAGGTTTAAGGACGTTTTCGGGAGTTTTCATATAGACATATAGGCAAAATTAAAACTGTTCATTAGAATTTCTTTGAACTTGGCATGTTGTTAGAATATGATAACATAAACATTGTAAGCGAAAAAAAACTTTGGGGTCACCGTTCTCGTTTTTGAGTTATCTGCCCCTGAATCAGAACTTTCTATTTATTTGAGGTCAATTCAAGGGCAGATAAGTTAAACATACTTAAATGAATTCTTGTTTTTACTTCTGAATTATATTTTTCTTTTTACTGTTGAGTACGATACATTATAACATACAATTCCATATATCATTTCTGTTGTTTTTTTTTTCAATAAAAAATAGAGATACTTTAAATTCTTTAAAAAAAGGCCATTTTTAAGAAAAGTATGCACAGGTTTAAAGAAGAAGTGGAAGAAAAATTATCCACTCTAAATTCCTTCTTGAAATTTTGCATATCGACTAAAACGAAGGTAAGCTTCATGAAAATAAGAAAAAAAAATGTATTGTTTCTTTTTTCATTGCAAATTATCTGCCCTTGAATTTAACGAAAAAGTCCAATTCAAGGGCAGATAACTCGAAAATAAGAACGGTGACCCCAATTTTTTTTTTTGCTTAAAATGTTTCTGTTATCATATTCTAACAACATGCCAATTTTTATGCCCCCACAGAGTGGGAGCATATAGCGTTGCACTTGTCCGTCCGAGTGTCCGTCGGTCAGTCCGTCCGTCCATCCGTACATCCCGAAATCTTGTGAACGCAACTCCTCTTAAACCGGATGGCAGATTTTGCTTAAACTTCCAGGGATGAACAACCTTAATGTTTAGATGGTAGTAAAGGAAGGAATTTTTGCTGCGACCAAATTTAACAGAATTATGGCCCTTTGTTGATTTTTTCACTGTATACTATGTAGAAATTTTGTGAACACAACTCCTCTTAAACGGGATGGCAGATTTTGCTTAACTTTCCAGGGATGAACAACCTTAATGTGTAGATGGTAGTAAAGGAAGGAATTTTTGCTGCGACCAAATTTATCCCTTTGTTGATTTTTTCACTATATACTATGTAGAAATTTTGTGGACGCAACTCCTCTTAAACCAGATGGCAGATTTTGCTTAAACTTCCAGGGATGAACAACTTTAATGTGTAGATGGTAGTAAAGGAAGAAATTTTTGCTGCGACCAAATTTAACAGAATTATGGCCCTTTGTTGATTTTTTCACTAAATAATTATGTAGAAATTTTGTGGAGGCAACTTGTCTTAAACCGGATGGCAGATTTTGCTTAAACTTCCAGGGATGAACAACCTTAATGTGTAGATGGTAGTAAAGGAAGGAATTTTTGCTGCGACCAAATTGAACAGAATTATAGCCCTTTGTTGATTTTTTCACTATTTACTATGTAGAAATTTTGTGAACGCAACTCCTCTTAAACAGGATAGCAGATTTTGCTTAAACTTCCAGGGATGAACAACCTTAATGTGTAGATGGTAGTAAAGGAAGGAATTTTATAGCCCTTTGTTGATTTTTAGTTTTCAACTTGTGGCACATGTAGTCCAAAACATATTTGACCTAGAGTCATAAGATTGACAGAACAGTGGCGTTTGGGGGCATCCGTGTCCTATGGACACATTTCTAGTTAAGAAATTCTATTGAACAGTTTTAATTTTGCCTATATGTCTATATGAAAACTCCCGAAAACGTCCTTAAGTTCAGATTTTTGGAAAACTGCATGATTTTAAAGAAAATTTCAATTGGGAAGTGGCCCTTTATCAGAGTCTGTTATATAAGCAGGAAAATCACTGACATAGAGTAATGTTTTCCCACCTAAACTATATGGAGCGAGCTTGTTATATAACAAACATTAGGAGCAGTTTTAAATATCATAGACAAATGTCAACAAGAACACAAACAGGAGCATTAATATGACAAATCAACGAATATTTTGTGGAATTCACGACAGTTACCAGTTTTACTGCTATAAAATAACTAATAACTAAGACAAATGTTATGAAAAACAGTTGTATCTATAATACATGTATATGTTTAAAGTTTATAAGTCTAATCATAATTTTTTATCTTCTTTATTTACATCTAGATGGAACATCAATGTGTGTATCTATAGGAAGTGGTAACCAGACAGGACTGTGGACGAACCAGTTGTGTACAAATACGGCTGGGTTAGTGTGTAAGGCAACAAGGGTTGGTCACACGGCACCACCTTTACCCCCAGTGTCAACCAGTCTACCTCCCTGTGACCCTGGTCTTATACAAACACCAAACTATTGCTATCAGGTATTCAAAATCTACTTTATGTAAATATCTGGCAAAAAGTGGTCCCAACGAAGCATTAAAATCAGCAAAATGACATGAAAATTGCAGACTCGGTTAGATCATGTAGATTGAGTCTGTATATAAAACCTGTTTGAGTTTAATCTGATTGGGTACTGATACACCAATAAAGCTTGAACGTTGTCATATGACCTTTAATATGTTGATGTCTCTTAAAATTGAAACTTAACCAAAAAAAACAGTAGTAACTATTTAATTAAGTGTTAAATTTGAACATGATGTTAGAATATCATAACTGAAACATTTTAAGTAAACAATTTTAACTCATTTTCAAGCTGAACTTGTTTTCAAGTTTTCTTCCCTTACATTTGATCTTTTTTCATTATTTAGGTTCTATGAAATTCAGATAATTTATACTTCACACAATATTTCTAATATACATGCATCCTTTATTTTTGTTGCAGAATGCCAACTGTGTTTAACACAACATTTATACAACAATATAGTGGTTAATTTCATTTGTACGGTATTTAACTGAGGTGGCATAAAATGACAGCAGCTTAACAAGAAACACAGCACTGTAAAAATTTCACAGTCCTAATACTTAACTATAGCACGCACTTTTAAAACACAAAACAATGAATATGTTTTTTTGAGAATTTTAAAAAAGTTACATATTAAGATCTTATTATTGTAGGTAAACACAGTTGAAGTTCATCGCCGCCGAAATATTGGTGAGGCGATTGTTGATTGTAAAAGTAAGGGAGGTAACCTTGCCTCGTTTCACAGTGCTGCGGATATTGATACAGTGTGGAGGAATGCATTAGTGTATGTTTTTATCGTACACCTTGAAAAATTTGGTCTGTAATGATGCATAAACTGGACATGTCACCTAGATATATGAAATTGTAAAATGTATTATAACAACATGTTACCATTGTCACAATCGTCATAAAGATATGCCATGATATCCACTGTGTTAACATATTATAGGGAAAAACATAAAAGTTTTCTTTTTTTTTAAGATAGATAGATTTATTTTGATAGATTTATTGGAATGGAATACATGGATATTTAAAACAACATGTAGGGTACAAATATATAACATACATGAGAATGATTAAGATGATTAAGCCATGACATGCATACCCAATACCAAGCCCAAGGATAGCACAAAAATGAGAGACATTATTTCAATTGTTATACATTTCATATTTTATTTGTAGTGGGACGTCATCCTCATACTGGATAGGGCTAAATGATCAAGCTACAGAAAATGGTATGTTTACAGAAATCTATAATACAAAGTTAGCATTTTTTAAGGATGCTATGATTATAAGTGTATTTAAACATTGTATCTTTTACTTACACTTCAAGTTTGATTTTACTTAAGAATATGAGGTCTAAATTTTAAATGAATATGAATTAAAAATCCCTCACTGCTGACTTTGGATTCTTCTATGTAAGGAAATTATACAGCTAGCTATTGGAATTTTGCTGGTTCTACTCAGGTACAGTTCATACCTGAAATAATGCACAGAAAGGCATCTAAGGTCTTCCTCCACCAGTAAAGTTGAAGCCATATGGCACATACTGTGTTGATGTGAGTTAACCCCCCACCCCTTTCATCCGCCCATATAAAAGAATTAAAGAGTAAGATTAACCCCTAGTGCATTTGTGCCATTCCAATTTCTCCGTTAGTGACCGACTATAAATTTCTTATAAATTAAGAATTCCATGGTGAACGCAATTTATCTTGTAAGTTGAGTCTTCTGGTCAGTTTACCATAGTGACACTCATTTTCCAAGATCAATTGTTATGGAGATCAGTTGTCAAGTAGAAGATTCTAGAAGGTACGCCTAACCAGATGCTCACCCTATTTAGTTAAAGTGTAGACTTAGCTCTTAGTGTGCCCAAACTGATAATAAACAGGCTTTGTTGCCATTAAAATATACATACTATAGGCAACAAATTTTGAATTTTTATCTTGATATATTATTTCCAAAAGGCAGTACAGACTGTGTGCATCACTGTATAGGGAATTAAGCAAGATCATTTAAGAAATTCGGCAGGAATTTTAAAAAAACTGGAACATTAAAGTATAATAAATTGTTGTTTAAGGGTATGTGTGGACAGATAAAACTGCTGTCAATGTGTTAAACTGGGCTGATAAGCAGCCAGACAACTACAAGGGAATGGAAGACTGTGTTGAAATGTGGAGCTCTACCTCCAAGTGGAACGATGCCGCATGTGCTTCAAAAAATAACTGGATCTGCATGGTGAAAAGAGGACAAGGTAATTTACACTTGATGACATGAAAGAAAACCTTTAATTAAGTTTATTACTTCATAGATGATATAAATTATTTGTTGAAAGGGCCCTAAGATAATTTTCACCAACCATTTTGTATGTACAGTAATTATTAGAGGGGTGTCACTGTTGGGAAAAATGCTAACGATGACCTAATAACCATGGTAAAAGTTTAACTGATCATACTAATATAAAAGCCTTAGATTTTCAACATTTTCTTTATGACAAGATATGATTTGTTCTTTTTGTCCTTATTTTATTGTACTCAAAATAATTACGATACATATCTAAGTATGAAGTAACTATTATCTGATATGGTCGTACTGTACATGGTTGTACTCAATCAGATTGGGGAAAATACATTGAGTACAACTAAAATATAAACAAATTGTCATATCTAGTTATAAAAACTAAGGTAATAATTAGAATCAGTTTAAAACTTATTTGCCTGTTTGTCAAGTACTAACGTGGGTTATCGGTTTTTAAATTTTCTAACTGGTAATTAGCTAAAAAACGGATCGTACCCATTTAAACGGAAAAAAAACATGACACCCCTAATAATCATCATTGCTTCTACAGATATAATGGTGTTAATTTGAGTTCATATATCAGACACATTTATACAATAAAATTTCATTATACTGAACTATAAATTCTACATTTGAACATTGTTATTTTTACTGGCTGAGTACCGTGATTTATTATGCTCCCCGAAAAATTTCGGGGGAGCATATAGTCGTCGGGTTGTCCGTCCGTCCGTCCGTCAGTCCGTCAGTCCGTACGTACGTCCCGAATTCGTGTCCGGCCCATAACTTTGTTATTTGAAGTCGGATTTTAAAATTATTTCACAGAAATGATCACCATATTGAGACGACGTGTCGCGAGCAACATTTGGGTCGCTACCTTGAAGGTCAAGGTCACATCATGACCTTGCAGCAAAATCGTGTCCGGTCCATAACTTTATTATTTGAAGTTGGATTTTAAAAATATTTCACAGAAATGATCACCATATTGAGACGACGTGTCGCGCGCAACATTTGGGGTGCTACCTTGAAGGTCAAGGTCACAACATGACCTTGCAGCAAAAATCGTGTCCGGTCCATAACTTCATTATTTGAAGTCGGATTTTAAAAAATATTTCACAAAAATGATCACCATATTGAGACGACGTGTCGCGCGCAACATTTGGGTCGCTACCTTGAAGGTCAAGGTCACAGCATGACCTTGCAGCAAAATCGTGTCCGGTTTATAACTTTGTTATTTGAAGTTGGATTTTAAAAATATTTCACAAAAATGATCACCATATTGAGACGACATGTCGCGCGCAACATTTGGGTCGCTACCTTGAAGGTCAAGGTCACAGCATGACCTTGCAGCAAAATCGTGTCCGGTCCATAACTTTGTTATTTGAAGTCGGATTTAAAAAATATTCCACAGAAATGATCACCATATTGAGACGATGTGTCGCGTGCAACATGTGGGTCGCTTCCTTGAAGGTCAAGGTCACAGCATGACCTTGCAGCAAAATCGTGTCCGGCCCATAACTTCCCTATTTGAAGTTAAATTTAAAAAGTATTTCACAGAAATGATCAAAAAGTGGTCCCAACGAAGCATTAAAATCAGCAAAATGACATGAAAATTGCAGACTCGGTTAGATCATGTAGATTGAGTCTGTATATAAAACCTGTTTGAGTTTAATCTGATTGGGTACTGATACACCAATAAAGCTTGAACGTTGTCATATGACCTTTAATATGTTGATGTCTCTTAAAATTGAAACTTAACCAAAAAAAACAGTAGTAACTATTTAATTAAGTGTTAAATTTGAACATGATGTTAGAATATCATAACTGAAACATTTTAAGTAAACAATTTTAACTCATTTTCAAGCTGAACTTGTTTTCAAGTTTTCTTCCCTTACATTTGATCTTTTTTCATTATTTAGGTTCTATGAAATTCAGATAATTTATACTTCACACAATATTTCTAATATACATGCATCCTTTATTTTTGTTGCAGAATGCCAACTGTGTTTAACACAACATTTATACAACATATAGTGGTTAATTTCATTTGTACGGTATTTAACTGAGGTGGCATAAAATGACAGCAGCTTAACAAGAAACACAGCACTGTAAAAATTTCACAGTCCTAATACTTAACTATAGCACGCACTTTTAAAACACAAAACAATGAATATGTTTTTTTGAGAATTTTAAAAAAGTTACATATTAAGATCTTATTATTGTAGGTAAACACAGTTGAAGTTCATCGCCGCCGAAATATTGGTGAGGCGATTGTTGATTGTAAAAGTAAGGGAGGTAACCTTGCCTCGTTTCACAGTGCTGCGGATATTGATACAGTGTGGAGGAATGCATTAGTGTATGTTTTTATCGTACACCTTGAAAAATTTGGTCTGTAATGATGCATAAACTGGACATGTCACCTAGATATATGAAATTGTAAAATGTATTATAACAACATGTTACCATTGTCACAATCGTCATAAAGATATGCCATGATATCCACTGTGTTAACATATTATAGGGAAAAACATAAAAGTTTTCTTTTTTTTTAAGATAGATAGATTTATTTTGATAGATTTATTGGAATGGAATACATGGATATTTAAAACAACATGTAGGGTACAAATATATAACATACATGAGAATGATTAAGATGATTAAGCCATGACATGCATACCCAATACCAAGCCCAAGGATAGCACAAAAATGAGAGACATTATTTCAATTGTTATACATTTCATATTTTATTTGTAGTGGGACGTCATCCTCATACTGGATAGGGCTAAATGATCAAGCTACAGAAAATGGTATGTTTACAGAAATCTATAATACAAAGTTAGCATTTTTTAAGGATGCTATGATTATAAGTGTATTTAAACATTGTATCTTTTACTTACACTTCAAGTTTGATTTTACTTAAGAATATGAGGTCTAAATTTTAAATGAATATGAATTAAAAATCCCTCACTGCTGACTTTGGATTCTTCTATGTAAGGAAATTATACAGCTAGCTATTGGAATTTTGCTGGTTCTACTCAGGTACAGTTCATACCTGAAATAATGCACAGAAAGGCATCTAAGGTCTTCCTCCACCAGTAAAGTTGAAGCCATATGGCACATACTGTGTTGATGTGAGTTAACCCCCCACCCCCTTCATCCGCCCATATAAAAGAATTAAAGAGTAAGATTAACCCCTAGTGCATTTGTGCCATTCCAATTTCTCCGTTAGTGACCGACTATAAATTTCTTATAAATTAAGAATTCCATGGTGAACGCAATTTATCTTGTAAGTTGAGTCTTCTGGTCAGTTTACCATAGTGACACTCATTTTCCAAGATCAATTGTTATGGAGATCAGTTGTCAAGTAGAAGATTCTAGAAGGTACGCCTAACCAGATGCTCACCCTATTTAGTTAAAGTGTAGACTTAGCTCTTAGTGTGCCCAAACTGATAATAAACAGGCTTTGTTGCCATTAAAATATACATACTATAGGCAACAAATTTTGAATTTTTATCTTGATATATTATTTCCAAAAGGCAGTACAGACTGTGTGCATCACTGTATAGGGAATTAAGCAAGATCATTTAAGAAATTCGGCAGGAATTTTAAAAAACTGGAACATTAAAGTATAATAAATTGTTGTTTAAGGGTATGTGTGGACAGATAAAACTGCTGTCAATGTGTTAAACTGGGCTGATAAGCAGCCAGACAACTACAAGGGAATGGAAGACTGTGTTGAAATGTGGAGCTCTACCTCCAAGTGGAACGATGCCGCATGTGCTTCAAAAAATAACTGGATCTGCATGGTGAAAAGAGGACAAGGTAATTTACACTTGATGACATGAAAGAAAACCTTTAATTAAGTTTATTACTTCATAGATGATATAAATTATTTGTTGAAAGGGCCCTAAGATAATTTTCACCAACCATTTTGTATGTACAGTAATTATTAGAGGGGTGTCACTGTTGGGAAAAATGCTAACGATGACCTAATAACCATGGTAAAAGTTTAACTGATCATACTAATATAAAAGCCTTAGATTTTCAACATTTTCTTTATGACAAGATATGATTTGTTCTTTTTGTCCTTATTTTATTGTACTCAAAATAATTACGATACATATCTAAGTATGAAGTAACTATTATCTGATATGGTCGTACTGTACATGGTTGTACTCAATCAGATTGGGGAAAATACATTGAGTACAACTAAAATATAAACAAATTGTCATATCTAGTTATAAAAACTAAGGTAATAATTAGAATCAGTTTAAAACTTATTTGCCTGTTTGTCAAGTACTAACGTGGGTTATCGGTTTTTAAATTTTCTAACTGGTAATTAGCTAAAAACGGATCGTACCCATTTAAACGGAAAAAAACATGACACCCCTAATAATCATCATTGCTTCTACAGATATAATGGTGTTAATTTGAGTTCATATATCAGACACATTTATACAATAAAATTTCATTATACTGAACTATAAATTCTACATTTGAACATTGTTATTTTTACTGGCTGAGTACCGTGATTTATTATGCTCCCCGAAAAATTTCGGGGGAGCATATAGTCGTCGGGTTGTCCGTTCGTCCGTCCGTCAGTCCGTCAGTCCGTACGTACGTCCCGAATTCGTGTCCGGCCCATAACTTTGTTATTTGAAGTCGGATTTTAAAATTATTTCACAGAAATGATCACCATATTGAGACGACGTGTCGCGAGCAACATTTGGGTCGCTACCTTGAAGGTCAAGGTCACATCATGACCTTGCAGCAAAATCGTGTCCGGTCCATAACTTTATTATTTGAAGTTGGATTTTAAAAATATTTCACAGAAATGATCACCATATTGAGACGACGTGTCGCGCGCAACATTTGGGGTGCTACCTTGAAGGTCAAGGTCACAACATGACCTTGCAGCAAAATCGTGTCCGGTCCATAACTTCATTATTTGAAGTCGGATTTTAAAAATATTTCACAAAAATGATCACCATATTGAGACGACGTGTCGCGCGCAAACATTTGGGTCGCTACCTTGAAGGTCAAGGTCACAGCATGACCTTGCAGCAAAATCGTGTCCGGTTTATAACTTTGTTATTTGAAGTTGGATTTTAAAAATATTTCACAAAAATGATCACCATATTGAGACGACATGTCGCGCGCAACATTTGGGTCGCTACCTTGAAGGTCAAGGTCACAGCATGACCTTGCAGCAAAATCGTGTCCGGTCCATAACTTTGTTATTTGAAGTCGGATTTAAAAAATATTCCACAGAAATGATCACCATATTGAGACGATGTGTCGCGTGCAACATGTGGGTCGCTTCCTTGAAGGTCAAGGTCACAGCATGACCTTGCAGCAAAATCGTGTCCGGCCCATAACTTCCCTATTTGAAGTTAAATTTAAAAAGTATTTCACAGAAATGATCATCATATTAAGATGACGTGTCATGCACAACATTTAAGTCGCTACCTTGAAGGTCAAGGTCACAGCATGACCTTGCAGCAAAATCGTGTCGGGCCCATAACTTCCTTATTTGAAGTCAGATTTTTAAACTATTTCACAGAAATGATGACCATATTAAAATGGCATGTCATGCGCAACATTTGGCTCGCTACCTTGAAGGTCAAGGTCACAGCATGACCTTGAAGCAAAATTGTGTCCGGCACATAACTTCATTATTTGAAGTCGGATTTTACAACTATTTCACAGAAATGATCACCACAATGAGACATTGTGTCGCGCGCAACATTTGGGTCGCTACCTTGAAGGTCAAGGTCACGGCATGACCTTGCAGCAAAATCGTGTCCGGCCCATAACTTTGTTACTGGAAGTCGGATTTAACAACTATTTCACAGAGATGATCACCATATTGAATCGACGTGTCGCATGCAACATTTAGGTCACTACGTTGAAGGTCAAGGTCACAGCATGACCTTGCAGCAAAATAATGTCGGGCGCATAACTTTGTTATTTGAAATCGGATTTTACAACTATTTCACAAAAATGATCACCATATTTAGACAATGTGTCGTGCACAATATTTGGGTTGTTTTTACACTTTGAACTTTGTCTGTGACATAACTCTGACACAACAAGAGGTATACCTTCCTGTGTCCAAAACCTATTCGGGGAGCATCACCCGGTTCAACCGGCTCTTGTTCTATTAGAAATCATAGTACAAATCATTGTTACATGTTTATAATGTTATATGCTTATTTTTCATATTATGTACAATATGAAACATATTAAAAAAATTACTCACTATCTAATATTTTTTTAGACACTTTAAACTACAGTGATCACTGAAATTCATATTTTATTATTTTCTAGGTGGACATTTAACAACATCAAAACCCCAGACAGCCCCACCTACCCAGTCAAGTAAGTTGACTCTATTACAAGTACAAAATATGTAGTCATTTCCGTATAAATCTTTAAAAATATAATTTTAGAGGATACTTTCAAAGGAGCGTCACTGGGGTCAAAAAAACTAAAACATAAAATTTGAAATTCTTACCTAGATCATTTAGTGAAGCACTTAAAATAGAAAATTCTGCAAAGGATAATAAAAAAATATTCTCGGAACTAAATTGAATATTGATTTTTTTGTGGGATACCTAGCCTGATTTGAGATTTTCATTTTTGGGTCATTTTGCACAATAAATACGACAATTCTGGAAAAATGGGGTGAGGGAATGATCTGAAAATTTGCATACCAGTTATTGTTCTAGACCTACATGAAATAGTGAACAAATCTGGAAATGTATTTCCAGTCCTGTCATAGACAAGTTCCTATTAGGCCATTATAATTTTCTGTGAAGAACTTAAAATTTGAAATTATCTTACATTTAATGGCATTAAATTTGATATTGTAATGGAGTTGACATGTATACCAGACCTAAATGAAATAAACTCAAAATTATTTACTATTTAACGTAAAATATATTTACTACGTGATTTGTTTACTGTTCTGTAGGTTCCCTATGCAGTAGTTTAAGTGGTAGTGGATGGGTGGCATTCAATGGCTACTGCTACCTGGCTAATGATGGAAACGGGGACCAGGGAAAGTCCTGGAGACAAGCTCAACATCAATGTCAACAATATGGCGGAGACCTTGCCTCAATCCTCTCACAGACCGAGCAAGCATTTGTGTATCATGCTATGGTAATGTAGAACATGTATAACTTTATGTTTGATTATTGTATCATATTAGCTGCTCCATGACAAAACTAACATAATGCATTTGAGACCAGCATGAATCCAGACCAGCCTGCGCAGTCTGATCAGGATCCGTGCTGTTTGCTATTTATCTCTCTACTTGTTATAGGGTTTGTAAGCGAACAGCATTGATCCTGATCAAACTGTGCGGATGTGCAGGCTGGTCTGGATTCATGCTGGTCGCAAACACATGATATGTTGGTTTTGTCATGGCGCTGCTCAATTATGTTTTTTGTGTCGCCTCTACGGAGTAGTGGCGACATATAGGGATCACTTCTCCGTCGTCTGTCTGTCTGTTTGTCCGTCCGTCTGTCACAAAACTTGTCCGGACTACTCATAAACTACTGGTGCAATTTCATCCAAACTTTACAGGAATGATCAGTACCAAGTCTAGTTGTGCATATTGTCAGCATTTTCCGGTTCAATGATTTTTGTCAGAGTTATGGCCCTTTAATAATTTTTATTTTTAAAGTTTGTCCGGACTACTTCTCTTATACCACTAATGCAATTTCAATGAAACTTTACAGGATTGATCTGTAGCTCAAGTCCTTGCGCATATTGCACGGGTTTTCCGGTTGATTGATTTTTGGCCGAGTTATGGCCCTTTGATAAAAAGGTGTTTTTTTCTGTGTGTTGCCAGATACACAAAAGCTTGTCCGGACTACTCCTCATAAACTACTGGTGCAATTTCATCCAAACTTTACAGGAATGATCAGTACCAAGTGTAGTTGTGCATATTGTCAGCATTTTCCGATTCAATGATTTTTGTCAGAGTTAAGTCCCTTTAATAATTTTTATTTTTAAAGTTTGTCCGGACTACTTCTCTTATACCACTAATGCAATTTCAATGAAACTTTACAGGATTGATCTGTAGCTCAAGTCCTTGCACATATTGCACGGGTTTTCCGGTTGAATGATTTTGGCTGAGTTATGGCCCTTTGATAAAAAGGTGTTTTTTTCTGTGTGTTGCCAGATACACAAAAGCTTGTCCAGACTACTCCTCAAAAACTACTGGTGCAATTTTATTCAAACTTTACAGTAATGATCAGTACCAAGTCTAGTTGTGCACTGTCCATCTGTCTGTCTGTCCGTCTGTCACAAAACTTGTCCCAACATGAAATTGGCCATTATGAGGCGACACATGTGATTACTGATCGCTCTTGTTTTTATAGAAAGGAGCTATTTAAATTGTGCTGTTACATGGTGTATAACACTTTAACAGTGTTTGTGGGTATATTTGCATATGTCTATTCTTTTTTTATGCCCCCACTTCGAAGAAGAGGGGGTATATTACTTTGCACTTGTCGGTCCGTCCCGTCCGTCGGTCTGTCGGTCCGTAGACCAAATGGTTTCCGAGTGATAACTAAAGAACCCTTAGGCCTAGGAACTTCAAACTTGGTATGGTGATTGGTCATGACCAGTAGATGACCCCTATTGATTTTGGGGTCAAGGGGTCAAAGGTCAAGGTCAAATTGACCTTGTAAGCAAAAACGGTTTCCGATCAATAACTTAAGAACCTTAAGGCCTAGGAACTTCAAACTTGGTATGGTGATTGGTTATGACCAGTAGATGACCCTTATTGATTTTGGGGTTAAGGGGTCAAAGGCCAAGGTCACATTGACCTTGTAGGTAAAAACGGTTTCCGATTAATAACTAAAGAACGCTTAGGCCTAGGGACTCTAAACTTGATATGGTGATTGGTCATGACCAGCAGATGACCCCTATTGATTTTGGGGTTAAGGGGTCAAAGGTCAAGGTCACATTGACCTTGTAGGTAAAAAACGGTTTCTGATCAATAACTAAAGAACCCTTAGGCCTAGGAACTTCAAACTTGGTATGGTGATTGGTCATGACCAGCAGATGACCTATTTATTATAGGGGTCAAGGGGTCAAAGGTCAAGGTCACATTGACCTTGTAGGTAAAATCGGTTTCCGATCAATGAACTAAAAACGCTTAGGCTAAGGAACTTTAAACTTTGTATGATGATTGGTCATGATCAGTAGATGACCCCTATTGATTTTGGGGTCAAGGGGTCCAAGGTCAAGGTCACATTGACCTTGTAAGTAAAAACTGTTTCTGATCAATAACTAAAGAACGCTTAGGCCTAGAAACTTCAAACTTTGTATGATGATTGGTCATTGCCAGCAGATGACCCCTATTGATTTGGGTCAAGGGGGTCCAAGGTCAAGGTCACATTGACCTTGTAGGTAAAAACGGTTTCCGATCAATAACTAAAGAACGCTTAGCCTAGGAACTTCAAACTTTGTATGATGATTTGGTCATGACCAGTAGATGACCCCTATTGATTTTGGGGTCAAGGGTCAATGTCATATTGACCTTGTACATAATGACGGTTTCTGACCAATAACGGTCAACAACTCAATTTGCCTGGTTGATATTTTTATATTAAACTAAAAAAAATTGCTTTTGGTATACACATTTGAAGGGTCTATGTGATATAACAACTTGGCTGTCATTAATGAGGCCTACATGATTCATAAAATTATGCATATATTATTTGGTAAGATTTTGTAATAACTTAAATTGCTGCACACAACCTATGGGGTCACAATAATTATTACCTTGTGACTAGTCATGACCAGTAGATACTAGATAACCCTTATTAATTGTTTATGCACTTGGTCAGAAGTCATGCATAATAACCTGATCACATGACTAATTGGCTGCCGATAGGGGGCATACATGTTTTACAAACATATCTTGTTTATTTATATATGTATACAGAGACAGATGACTAATATTACCAACTTTGTTAAATGTTCCTTTCATTTTAAGTTGTATTAATTAAATCATCAATGCTCTTGATAAATGATTTTTGTTTAAGTGTAAGTTTATTATGTAGACAAGTGTGAGATATAAAATGTAGTTATAGTGTTTCATTATTCAAACTTAATTTTTAGCTTGACTGTTAAAAGAATAGGGAGAGTTATTGTACTCACCTAGGCATCAGTGTCCGTGTCATACTTTGGTTAAGTTTCTGTGTGCAAGCTGGTATCTCCAAAACTATTGAAAGGAATGGATTGAAATTTCGCACACTTACTTGAGAGCAAAATAGGAGGTCACTATCCAAGGCATATAATTCTTACATTGGTATTGACAGAAATATGGCCTTTTTGAACTTATAAGATTCAACATCATCCCGGCTTGTGTTTTAGTATCAATAGCACTGTATAAAGTCAAGCATGCTGTCCTACCAAAAGCTGATGTGTTCATTCATTTTGTTTGTTTGTTTTTCCAGTTGAAAAATTTATCTGCCTATAGAGTGTGGATAGGACTGAATGCACTAGATCTGAACAATGGATACAAGTAAGTTTTTTATGATATTGAAACCTACTAGTATTGTCTTAATGTACTCATTTAATAGCTTGCTTAATACTTCTTGTTCTGGACTTTCACATACAGAGTACCCTGTTTAAGAAGTGATTATATAATTTTCTAGGTAAATTTCATAAGAAAAGTAAGTGTTTAAGTAAGTGATATTTTCTCAGAAATTTTTATTAGAAAAGTAAGGAGTCTTATGGATAGGATTCAGGTTAGTCACTGACTTAAGAAAAACATGTACATTGGTTTACTCTATGTTTGATAAAAGTTGTGTTGCACATCTGTCAGAACCAAAAGGTTAAAGGTCAGCTATCAGTATAGAAGGGTGATTGAGTGTCTGGTGTCCATAATCTGTAATCAACAATATTCTTTTCCTCTGAATCTACAGGTTAGACTGTCTGCAAATTAGCATTAAGGCATAATTTGTTCTCATATTCTTTAAGGGATCACCAGATCTAAAAGAAATTATATCTTTAAACATCTTTTCATAAAACAATAAATGGTTAATCACTAAATTTGATCTAAATTATACTTTAAGAGATGCATTTTATTTGCCTATTTGAATAAATGGGTTGTAAGATCACTGACAACAATCAAAAAACCATTGTCAATGAGAGTACTTGGCTTTTTTTACAAATTCATTTTTGACAAATTCATTTTTGACTGATTCATTTGCTTCTTTATTGTTCATCACTAAAATTCATTATGAATTTAATTAAAGCTTCTTGTTTTCTCAAGTGTTACTAAATTTGTTTTGCTATATCGTTCAAAAGAATAATTAATGTTAGGTATTGTTTCTGTCCGTGATTTGTTGTACAGATAATATTGCACATGAATTTTAGTAGTTGCCTTTAATATTATGTCTTTGAAGAGGAGACTTTCAAGTTTCAAATTGATTTAGAGTAATAATCTTTTTTATTACATGTTTTGCAGTAGATTACTGAATTATAACGGTTAATTATATTCTGATAATTTCACAGTAATGATTACCAAATATAATTTTCACAGTAGCCGAACTATATTTGGCGTAAAATAAAATATTTATCATTAATGAATGTTTTTTTTTCAGCGGAAATGTAGTCAAATCATAATAAAAAAATGTACGTGAAACTGTAGTTCGTAAATATTTACGAACGTTGTGCTGAAAAACATCTAAAATCTAAAAAAATCATGGAATTATATTTTGCTTCAACATTGTGACGTCATTATTTGATGACGTCATGAAGATAAGAGCATGGCGTTACGCGGCAAAAATCAGTAAAATGGTGTAAAAATCGTTAAAAAATCATGAAATAAACAGAAAATTTGTTTGTTTTACATGTAAGATCAAATAATATTTCACTCGTGAACCCCAGCTATTATATTTTCACTCGTGGCTACGCCACTTGTGGAAAATATTGCATCTGGTGTTCACTCGGTGAAATATTTTTCGATCTTACACTGAAACAAACAAATATCCTCTATGTATTTACTTTCTGTTTCTTGATTAAGTAGACTGCTTTTGGGTCAATAAACATCTCTGAAATTTCTATATTTAATTACTTTGTACAACATATTCTGTGATACATTTAGCATGTCTGATATTATGAAAACGTCCTTTCCAGTTTTGAATAAGTATTTTTAAAATTTTTGTGATCAGTTTGTGACAATTTTTTACAGGTGGTCTGATGGGTCACCAGGGAAGTATTACCACTGGCGTTATAATGAACCTAATGATTGGGGTGGGGAAGAAGACTGTGTCAACATCCTCCTTCTCACAGGTAAATGAGAAAACTTTGCTTATTCTAGAACTGCAACTTTTGAAACTGTTGTTTCCCCATATAAGAGTGATTATGCCTTTGTGCTTCCGAGGGATCACTTCGTTTCCAGATTTTTGTGTTTCTAGATTTTTAAGGAAGAAGCAGATTATAAGTAATTTAATATTGCTGAAATTGTTCATTAATAATTTGTAGTATTGTGCTAGAATTTTGTGCCTTGATTAGATAAAACATTCAAAAGTCTGATTAGATAATACATTCAAAAGTCTGATTAGATAATACATTCAAAAGTCTGATTAGATAATACATCCAAAAGTCTGATTAGATAATACATTCAAAAGTCTGATTAGATAATACATTCAAAAGTCTGATTAGATAATACATTCAAAAGTCTGATTAGATAATACATTCCAAAAGTCTGATTAGATAATACATTCAAAAGTCTGATTAGATAATACATCCAAAAGTCTGATTAGATATATACATTCAAAAGTCTGATTAGATAATACATTTCAAAAAGTCTGATTAGATAATACATTCAAAAGTCTGATTAGATAATACATCCAAAAGTCTGATTAGATAATACATTCAAAAGTCTGATTAGATAATACATTCAAAAGTCTGATTAGATAATACATCCAAAAGTCTGATTTAGATAATACATTCAAAAGTCTGATTAAGATAATACATCCAAAAGTCTGATTAGATAATACATTCAAAGTCTGATTAGATAATACATTCAAAAGTCTGATTAGATAATACATTTCAAAAGTCTGATTAGATAATACATTCAAAAGTCTGATTAGATAATACAAGTCCAAAAGTCTGATTAGATAATACATTCAAAAGTCTGATTAGATAATACATTCAAAAGTCTGATTAGATAATACATTCAAAAGTCTGATTAGATAATACATTCAAAAGTCTGATTAGATAATACATCCAAAAGTCTGATTAGATAATACATTCAAAAGTCTGATTAGATAATACATTCAAAAGTCTGATTAGATAATACATTCAAAAGTCTGATTAGATAATACATTCAAAAGTCTGATTAGATAATACATTCAAAAGTTAATACTGTTTTTTCTTTTACGTAAGACAATATGTTTCTCTTTCAGGTGAGTGGAATGATGACCACTGTGCCAGACAGTATGGGTATGTTTGTAAGGTGCGTGTTGGATCAATTATTACCCCTGTTGTACCTACAGGATTGTGGGCAGGAAATTGTCCATCAGGCTTTCATATGCAGTTTAACAGGTGAATATTCTTAATTGTATATATATGTAGGATAATTGTCCAATTTTGATTTTTTAGTGAATATATAATTATATCAGTTAATAGTAGGTTTTTGTCATTTTTGAGTGAATATAAACAAAATATAATGGATTTTAAAAGACCTCAACCTTCTAACTGTTGGAATCAAAAGTGATTTGCCTTTTCCACCAGTGAAGAGCTATGTCACCCTAGTGACCTGGTAGGTATATTTCTATATTGAAATCCCTTAAATTTTGAATGGTCTGTTTCATCTTCAAAGCAAGGCAGTCATGTTGGTGTTGCTGTTCCAAAAGTTTCACGTTGATCATAACTTTTTAAGTTCTTGGTGTATTTTCTTCATACTTGGCCACAACAATCCTTGGGACATGACCTTCAAGAAAATCAGTTTATAGTTGACCCTCATTCATAAATGACCTTGACCTTTGAGGTCAAATTATTGCATTTTCACTGATTATTGCCATAATTTGCTGTAATTTGGTAATTAATCAATGGATTATCTTCATAGTTAGACAAAAAAAAACTTTTGGACAAGACTCTCTTAAAGGTTGAACTGACCTTGACCATGAGCTTTCAATGACCTTGACCATCAAGGTCAAATTATTGAATTTGGTTAAGTTGTCATAATTTTCTTATTTATGCATGGATTTGGTTCATATGTGGACAAAACTACAAATGTGAAAAGACATGTTAAATAATATAAAGATGACCTTGACCTTTAAATGACATTTAATGTCAAGGTCAGATGATTGAATTATGCTTTTATTTTCTTAACTTCATTTATTTATGGCAATGATTCAAACTGGCAATAATGGACAAAACAACAAAACAACATTTAATATTTGTAGTTTGAGTAATACATATATATTATAACAATTAGGATCAACATTGATTATAATTTTTATATATTTAGGTGTTACAGGATATATCCTAAACCTGTAAACTGGACAACAGCCTTGGCAAACTGTAAAGGACTTGGCTCTGGCTACAGTCTTGCCAGCATTCTAGATGATGTCACCAATGGTTTGATTAATTTTTTATAATATTTAACAGAACTAATTCATGTATTTTTCATTACTTTAGACTGAGAGCCCTATCGGTGCTGATAAAAGTTGCCTAATACTTCAGCTAAGAGGGGTGTCTCTGGTTGAGTAGTATTAAAAGTTATTGACTTGAAACCATTTGCCCCTCACTGCTGTGTGTTCAAATCCAACCAGGGCATTTGAATTATTTTTGGTGAGGAAGCTATCTAGCTTGTTAACAATACATTGGCGGTTTTACTGAAATGATAGTTCATGCCTTAAATAATGCACAGAGGAAACTATTTTGAAAACTTTTAAACTGATGCTCAGGGGCCTTAGGAGATTTTGCTCTATTTATTGTCTCTCATAAACAGATGATTAAACTAAACAAAACAGAGCAAATCCATTCCACAAAACAGAGCAAATCCATTACACAAAACAAAGCAAATCCATTACACAAAACAGAGCAAATCCATTACACAAAACAAAGCAAATCCATTACACAAAACAAAGCAAATCCATTACACAAACAGAGCAAATCCATTACACAAAACAAAGCAAATCCATTACACAAAACAAAGCAAATCCATTACACAAAACAAAGCAAATCCATTACACTAATATAGCATGTTAAGGTTTCATTTTGTGTATGACTGAAATTGCAGATTAATTCAATTATATTTATAGCATTTATAACAACACTGATGGCAGATATGCAGGTGAATCCATGGATTGGTTTACACAAAGATGAGAATAATCAGTTGTTATGGGTGAACAATGATGAAACTGTATACACTAACTGGGCACATGATGAACCTAATGGCAGAGAGAAAGAAGCTTGTGTACAGGTTATACATCAGTTTTGTGTCTTTATCATGATATAAAATATATATAGAACTTAGGTGGTTATTGAATGTTTTTGCTTGAGTTTAAATATCCTGAATTAATCCTTGAACAACATGTCACAGTTCCTGAGCTGTGTTTCATAGAAAGTCCTAAGTGTATCTCAAGTCCTAGGACTAAATATGATTAATTAGACTGATTCAATAAATATTTTCATCTTTGGTGAAAGTTTTACACTCTTACTTAAGTCATTCTCTCAAGAAGAATTATAAAATACAATATGGCACACACTTCAATCTGCAATGTGAAAATGTTCATCTGTATGCCCTATATTCAGAACTTGAAAAGTCTTAACATATTGTAGAGTCATAAGTTAGGACATTTTATTTGAAACGAAAATTGTCTCAGTTTTGATCTTAAGACATATTTTGATTGAGGACTTTTCTATGAAACACAACCCTGAATGGTTAAACTTTATGAATCTGAATAGCTTTCACCTTTTTGTTGTGGGTTTGAACCTTGCCAAGGACCATAACTTCTGTCAGGGTAAAGAAACTACCCAGCTATGGATTATAATAGCTCTAATCTGGTAGCCTATTTACTTATGGCTGAAATAATGCATGTGGAGGTGACTGTGGTGTTTCCCTTCACCAGTTCAGCTGAAATGTCACCATATGACGTATTGTGTTTCTGCTACATAATGCCTTTTCAAATGATAATATTGATAAAAAAATCCATGCCTGATATTTTTTTTTATGCCACCGCAGCATCTGCGATGCGGTGGCATATAGCGATTCACCTGTGTGTGTGTGTGTTTGTTTGTTTGTGTGTTATATAGATTATATAGTGAACTATAAGAATAAATTTTAAAAATCTTCTTGTGAAGACCCAAAAGGCCTAGAGCTAAGATATTTTGCAAAAGGCATTGTGAGGTAGACCTCTACCAAGATTGTTCAAATTATAGCCCTGGGGTCAAAATCGGCCCCGCCCCGGGGGTCATTGTTTTTCACTATATGTACATATAGTAAAAACTTAAAATACCTTCTTGTAAAGACCCAAAAGGCCTAGAGCTTAGATATTTTGCATAAGGCATTGTCTGGTAGACCCTTACCAAGATTGTTCAAATTATAGCCCTAGGGTTAAAATCAGCCCTGCCCCGGGGGTCATTGATTTTCACTATATGTACATATAGTAAAAACTTAAAATACCTTCTTGTAAAGACCCAAAAGGTCTAGAGCTTAGATATTTTGCATAAGGCATTGTGAGGTAGACCTCTACCCAGATTGTTCAAATTTTAGCCCTGGGGTCAAAATCGGCCCTGCCCCGGGGGTCATTGGTTTTCCTTATATGTATATAGTAAAAACTTATAGTAAAAACTTTAAAAAAATTTCTTCTAGCAATTGGCAAATGCTAGAGGTTAGATAATTTTTATTATCTTGCATGAAACATTGTGTAGTGAACCTCTAGCAAGATTGTTCAAATTATAGCCCTGGGGTCAAAATTGCCCCCGCCCCAAGGTCATTGATTTTCAATATATACATATAGTAAAAAATCAAAAAAAATCTTATTGTCTGATGGTACAAGGTACAAGGCTTCAAAAACTTAAAATACCTTATTTTAAAGACCCAAAAGGCCTAGAGCTTAGGAATTAATGCGGTGGCATAGCATTTTTCTCAAATGCAATCTTGTTTTAATTTACAGATAACTGGTTATTCTGGTACAGTTGGTCAATGGAATGATGTTGATTGTTCAACTCAACATGGGTATGTCTGTATGACCAAGAAAGGTAATGCTTACAGTAAACATGATATGTTGTAGACATGATAATTCTAGATAACTACAGTAATAAACTCATATCTGTATTATAAAACAATGCTATTCTTGGTTTTGCATTAGTCAAAAAATAAATGAAAAATAAAAAAGTTATTTTTGTGACATAATACAAGGGATAATTGTGATTGAAAAAAGATATGTAAAGTTTTTACCTGCATGAACAATGTATGTATGGTAAGGCTTTTGAATGGTTAAAAAGGTAGTTTTATAACTGGAATTAAGTCTTGTAGTTTAATTTTACATAATAGAAAATGGTTTTTATCAAATTGTTATTTGTCTTTGCCAACACATAATTTTTTTTTCTGTTTTAAGTAATGACTTACTTCTGGATTATTTTAAAACATTATGTCTGACTAATAGTAATTATTATTATTACTAAAAACAGCTTTAAAATAACTACTAATGAACAAAAAGATAGCAAGGTTTTGATTTGCTTATTAAATCCAAAATGAAATGGTTGTCAAATTTCGGGAATATCAATATTACCAATAATCCAGAAATTATTTTTTTTATAGACCCAACAATTCTGACTGCGGAACCAATTCCTAGCATTTGTGATGTACAACAAGGACAGAAACTGTTTAAAACAGGCTGCTATTTCTTCCTAAAGCAGGCTTCCAACTGGTCCCAGGCGAGTGATACCTGTCTTAAACAAGGAGGTAAGATAAAGTTATTTATCCCAACCTTTATCCGCTGGATAAGACTGGGCCTGCTTACAATATGAAACTGTCCATCATCAATTTTGGGGATATCAAAATGAGGATTTGAATTCAGCCTACAGTGTAAAATTCTTAACTGTTAATAATTGATATATTGTCACCTTATTGCAGTCAAAAATATAATTTAATGGCAGTAAACCTGTTACTGCACTTAGTTGACAGTATGATTGTTATGATGATGATAAGTCACGATCAGATTTAAGAATGATGATTATATGCATATTATTCTTTTTTTATAAGGATGATATGGATTTTTTGTATTTATCAGGATAATATGGATATTATTGTATTTATCAGGATAATATGGATATTATTGTATTTATCAGGATAATATGGAAATTATTGTATTTATCAGGATAATATGGATATTATTGTATTTATCAGGGAAATATGGATATTTTTGTATTTATCAGGGAAATATGGATATTTTTGTATTTATTAGGATAATAAGGATATAATTGTATTTATCAGGTTAATATGGATATTTTTGTATTATCAGGATAATATGGAAATTATTGTATTTATCAGGATAATATGGATATTGTATTTATCAGGATAACATGGATATGTTTGTATTTATCAGGATAATATGGATATTTTTGTATTAGGATCATATGGAAATTATTGTATTTATTTATCAGGATAATATGGATATTTTTGTATTCATCAGGATAATGTGGATATTTTTGTATTAGGATCATATGGAAATTATTGTATTTATCAGGATAATATGGATATTATTGTACTTTTCAGGATAATGTGGATATTTTTGTATTTATAAGGAAAATAGGGATATTTTTGTATTGATCAAGATAATATGGATATTTTTGTATTAGGATCATATGGAAATTATTGCATTTATCAGGATAATATGGATATTTTTGTATTCATCAGGATAATGTGGTTATTTTTGTATTAGGATAATATGGAAATTATTGTATTATCAGGATAATATGGATATTGTATTTATCAGGATAATATGGATATGTTTGTATTTATCAGGATAATATGGATATTTTGTATTAGGATCATATGAAAATTATTGTATTTATCAGGATAACATGTATATTATTGTACTTTTCAGGATAATATGGATATTTTTGTATTAGGATCATATGGAAATTATTGTATTTATCAGGATAATATGGATAGTTTTGTATTCATCAGGATTATGTCGATATTTTTGTATTTATCAGGATAATGTGGATATTTTTGTATTTATTAGGAAAATAGGAATATTTTTGTATTGATCAGGATAATATAGATATTACTGTATTTTTCAGGAGGCTATTTGTCATCTGTAAACTCAGGATATGAGCAGGCCTTTATATACCTGACTATGAAACAACATAATGTGAATGCTGTATGGATTGGATTAAATGATATAAAGGTAAATTGATGTCAATGTTGACATTATTACTCTATGTGCTATAACTTAAACTCTATATTCAGCACATAATGTACTTTAAACTCTATATTCAGCACATAATGTACTTAAAACTCTATATTCAGCACATAATGTGCCTTTAAACTCTATATTCAGCACATAATGTACTTTAAACTCTATATTCGACACATAATGTGCTTTAAACTCTATATTCAGCACATAATGTACTTAAAACTCTATATTCAGCACATAATGTGCCTTTAAACTCTATATTCAGCACATAATGTGCCTTTAAACTCTATATTCAGCACATAAAGTGCCTTTAAACTCAATATCCAGCACATAATGTGCCTTTAAACTTTATATCCAGTACATAATGTGCCTTTAAACTCTATATCCAGCACATAATGTGCCTTTAAACTATATATTCAGCACATAATGTGCCTTTAAACCCTATATCCAGCACATAATGTTCCTTTAAACTCTATATTCAGCACATAATGTTCCTTTAAACTCAATATCCAGCACATAATGTTCCTTTAAACTCTATATTCAGCACATAATGTTCCTTTAAACTCTATATTCAGCACATAATGTTCCTTTAAACTCTATATTCAGCACATAATGTTCCTTTAAACTCTATATTCAGCACATAATGTTCCTTTAAACTCTATATTCAGCACATAATGTTCCTTTAAACTCTATATTCAGCACATAATGTTCCTTTAAACTCTATATTCAGCACATAATGTTCCTTTAAACTCTATATTCAGCACATAATGTGCCTTTAAACTCTATATTCAGCACATAATGTTCCTTTAAACTCAATATCCAGCACATAATGTTCCTTTAAACTCTATATTCAGCACATAATGTACTTAAAACTCTATATTCAGCACATAATGTGCCTTTAAACTCTATATTCAGCACATAATGTGCCTTTAAACTCTTTATTCAGCACATAATGTGCCTTTAAACTCAATATTCAGCACATAATGTTCCTTTAAACTCAATATTCAGCAAATAATGTGCCTATAAACTCTATATCCAGCACATAATGTGCCTTTAAACTCTATATTCAGCACATAATGTGCCTTTAAACTCTATATTCAGCACATAATGTGCCTTTAAACTCTATATTCAGCACATAATGTGCCTTTAAACTCTATATTCAGCATATAATATGACTTTAAACTCTATATTCAGCATATAATGTGCCTATAAACTCTATATTCAGCACATAATATGCCTATAAACTCTATATTCAGCACATAATGTGCCTTTAAACTCTATATTCAGCACATAATGTGCCTTTAAACTCTATATTCAGCATGTAATGTACTTAAAACTCTATATTCAGCACATAATGTGCCTTTAAACTCTATATTCAGCATATAATGTGCCTTTAAACTCTATATTCAGCACATAATGTGCCTTTAAACTCTATATTCAGCATATAATGTGCCTATAAACTCTATATTCAGCACATAATGTGCCTTTAAACTCTATATTCAGCACATAATGTACCTTTAAACTCTATATTCAGCATATAATATGCCTTTTAACTTTGTATTCAGCAATCTGGAACATACTCATGGACAGATAACTGGCCAGTAGTGTACAGCAACTGGGATGCTGGTCAGCCTGTTGGTGGTCAAGGTTGCGTGATTGCCAATACCACAGGAAGATGGATCGAAACTAACTGCTCAGCATCGTACCCTGCCATCTGTAAAATATCCACTGGTAATAAAGTTTGTATAACATTTGATGACTTGGAATAATTTTAGATTGTTCTATAAAGTTATTATGCAGAGGAAATGTGAAGATCAAATTTTAAGAATGAGTCTCTGTTGCATTGGTATAATCTTGGTTAAAACAGCAGATAAATTAACATTTTATATTACATGTATTTATTAGTTTACATTAATCTGTATTCTTAGCTGTATATGATGTATATTATAGTGACAGTATAATGTATTACTTCATCATTATAACAGCTGAATGATTCTTAATCAATAGTTCTATTGTCATGTAATATAGGAACATAGTGAAGAATTTTTTTATTGAATTCTCATTTTGTGTCAATGACATCTTTTAATTTTGAAATGTTCCTCTTTCTTTATTGTAGCATCCCCGTCATTGACTCCTCCAGCCCCTAATGCACTGTGTGACCCAGGCTGGTATTCATGGAAAAGTCACTGTTACTACCTTGGTGTGAATATACCACGATCAGCTCTAGATGCAGGATTCTACTGTCAGCAACACCACGGGGCGCTTGTTTCTATTCATAACCAAACACTGAACCAGTATCTTGTTAAAACAATGAACTCATTGGCAGTGAATGGGCAGAGTTTCTGGACAGGTCTACATAAGTCAATAGATTGTGAGTGAATGCTTTACTTTTATATTAGCAAGATTTAATATTGCATATACATTAAATTATCATATCAGACATTAGTAAATATTTCATGTTAGTTAGTGGTTTAAATTTTACATGATGAGACAAAGAAAAAAGTGGTGAATAGGCCATAGCTGTTATACAACATGACATTTCAGCAAGTACAACTTCACTTTTATCAGAATCCTTTAAAATACTCTTAAAGCTTGCCGTTGAAGATGCTAGAATATTTTGAAGAAATTAATGTTGTTTTGATAGCTTTTTCCATTTATTACAGTAGAATCTACTTTGTTGCTAAAATTATTGACTTTAAAGCAGCACTCCTCCAGGTTCCTGCTTATTTTCATGAACATTTTGAAAATGTATTAAACAGTTAAATTTTGTAAAGAGAACAAAGAAAGTAATTTACACACGGCACTTATAAAAACAACACATGTAATTTACCAAAAAGAGGTCAAAATATGCAATAATATCATGTAATGTGTTTGTAATGCAGTAGATATAAGGCGAAAAATACTGCAAAATCAGTCATCTATTGCTCATAACATGAAAATATTACTTTTATCTTGAATCTTTTTACATTTCTTAAAATCTCAGTACATTTTTCAGAAGAGGAATTTTCTTGAAATATTTATAATCAGCCATTTAACAGGGTTGAAGTTATGGTTTAATCAACAGAAAACTTTATTTATATTTTAGGATAAATAACACATAGATGAATAAGAAGCTACATTACTTAGTTTTTGATTTTCAGCTGGTTTCCAGTGGATAGACAGATCACCAGTACAGTTTACTAACTGGAGAAAAGGGGAACCATCCACTCGAGGATGGGCAGGAAACTCGGAGAATTGTGCAGAGGTATTTTTGTCAGATGGAAAATGGAATGATGAAGACTGTAATAGTAAAAGACTTTTTGTCTGTGAGAAAAGTCCAGGTATTTAATTTAACATAATTATGTTGGAAACAATATTAAATAGTCTTTACCACTGTTAACAAAGCTCTGAAATTATGGGCTGGTCAATTTTTTTTTATATATCTATATATATATAGCCAAAATTGATAATTAATAGGAGAGAGTGGCAAGTCCAGTCAGAAAAAAGCAAATACAGGGCTCAGACTCATTATAGGCTGTTTACAGAGAAATCTAACAGTGTATGAGATTTATTTTCTATGCTAGCTTGTTTCTTACTACTGGATTGTCAAGCGTTGAGATCAAACAAATTATATACAATTATGTCATTGTTGTTTGCTTGCCCTGACGGCCTGACCACAGGAATTGAATTAAGAAAAGGACATTGTTTTCAGTTACTAAATTAATATACTTTTAATTCAGAGAAAAATTGTGTAAGAAGTAGTGTTAAATAACCAGTTGTTTTTCAAAGAATTTATCTTAAACTATGTCATAATTCTTAATACATGTATTTAATTAAAAAAAACTGTCTGATGTATCAAAGGATGTGTTTATTATTATTTAAAGGTATACTTTGCTCTAAATTGATACTTGAAAATATTGATAATTGTTACACAGTCTCTTTGTAAATATAAAATAAATACATTTTGACTTAACTCAAAGTATGTATGTTATGTTTAAAATTCTACACACTATGGGTAGTCACAATATGAATATACTGTGAGTGTCATTAAAATGGCATTACTTTTTAAAGAAATTACCAACTTTACTTGACCTGCAAAGGGAGCGCAGCTTCCAAAACATACATGTACTTTATTCATTATTCTATTCAAAATGCACATATTTATTAAGAATTTCATAGATTCAATAAATATCTGTGATTAAAATATTTTTCAAGGATGAGCATAGTATATCTTTAAAATATATTTATATTATAAATAACATGTTATGGATATTGTTTTCAGTTGTAGATAACAGCAAGATACATATTGGTACAGGAGGAGCACCAATCAATGTCCCTACACCTATACCATTCACCCGTCCCTCCATACTGCCAATACAGCGTACACCCTCCCCGCCATCTAAAGGTGTGTCACAGATATCACCTCAGACAGATAAACCTCCAGTGTCACCTCAGTCACAGAACGTGCCCTATGTATCCGTAACGACAAGGAAATCATTACCTGTGGTTTCTGACAACTCTAACCCACTGACAGGTGCTTTACCGTCTCTTTCAATGAGACCATATACAGGAGGTAGTACAGCACAACCGTTACAAGCTGCTGATACAGGTAATTATGCTACATGTAAACTTTCACAACCAGTTGCTTTTAATCAAGTATGTAGACATATAATAAAATTATAACATAATTAATTGGTTAATTGGTTTATCTAACAGTTTCAGAATTACTTTATACAATTATTTATTTGAGTTTTACTAAGGATCACTGAACAGTTTAAATTCCACCAAGGATGTTGAAATATTTAATGTAAAGAAGCCATCCAATTATATACAAAGGTGCCGATTTATGCTTTTTATAAAGCACAGAGGGAGCGTACATTAGATGTTCCTCAACCAGATAATACTTAAAACCTTAACAGTGCCTGTGTAATTTATGAATTTAGTAAAATCATGTAATCAATGATTCTAACACGACCCGCATTTTTCCCTATTGAACATAGAAGAACAGAAAGTGTGTGTTATTATGCAACAGATGCACAATTTGACGTTCTATATTTAGACATGTGACGTAATCATTATACACGTGACGTAACCACTAAAAAGCCGACGCGCTGAAAGTAAGTACGGAAACAAATCAGGCGCAATTTTGCTAAACTATCAAGTAAGGCAACATTTATTTGTTGATGTCGTGTTAGAATCGAAATAATATATCCAAATCAGTGATTTTATCTCTTGATAACATCACGGTTTGTCGTTCGGATGCGCATCATTATATCACTCGGGCTACGCCCTCGTGATATAATTCCTCGCATCCGAACTCCAAACAGTGATGTTATTGAGCGATAAAATCACTGTTTGGGATATATTATTTTTAAATCAATGAAATAAAAAATTTTCGGGTTGTATTGTATTCTTTTTTGTTAAAGCGCCAATCTTTAATTTTCCATGCTTTTCCTAAATCCTTTTAAAAATATTAAATCACGGAAATTTAAAAAAAAAATGTTTAGAAATCTTTAAAATTTAATGTTTGAATGGGAAAAAAAAATTTTCCCCCCCGGGCAAAAAATTTAAATTCTTGCAAACAAGAAAACGAACCATGTTCTCCTCAGTTTCCAATATCAAATTGAGGGGTGCAGTCATTCTTATAAAAAACAGGCCACGAAATGTAATTAACTTTGAGTGTCCCTTAAATTAGCAGCTCATAATCCATGTAACTGTTAAACTAGTCAGTAATTTTGTTTTCACAATTCCATTCTCAAAAGATGTAGGATGGAAATAAACACATTTTTTGTTAAATTATACCAATATATTCAGGTTTTTGGAATGTTAAAACAATAACAAATTTTACAGATGAATGATACATATTTTACTATTTCAATGCATACTTCGAAGTTCTTTACAAATTTATCAATGAAAAGCAGTTCGACATTAGAATGCTATTGATTATTTATGATACATATAAACTCCTCGTTGTAAACTAATTCATGCATGTAGCAGTTGTTTTTTCACCCAAATGCCTTAAAAGTAATGTAATAATTTTGTAACGTACATTTCAGTTTAATACAAAAAAATATCAACAGTGAATTCATTTAGAAAATCTGACAGGAATGGGAAAACTTAAATATTTCTGTTTGGTATTTATTCCTTTTCTAAACATTTGAACAATTAACTACAAAAATCATACGCTTGGTCAGAATAAGATATTGTATATGCATACAGAAATAAGATGTATTTTAATTGATGATTCTGTTCATATAAGGTAAAAAGTACATGTAAACAACATTATATGTGCATATTTAACCATTTATGACAACATACATGTGTGATAAAATGCTTTAAAATATCAATCTTTAGCATTTTTGAAGACTTTCTTAAAAACTTTATAAAATACTCTTGTAAACTCTCATTGGTAACGTACATTTCAGTTTTCTGGCATGGGTGTTGTACATAAAAAGACACCAATTAATATTTAACATAATAAACAAAATGTTTCCTTTTTTATATTTTTAATTTAAAACAACAAACATTTTTACTTTATAAAAATAATTTAAAAACACATGTGATCATCCTAATATGCTACGTTATTCATTGTTATGAGGATAATTTTACAGCAATGTCCAGAAATGTTTTGAGTCCCATTATGGTGTAATTGATAAAATTTGTTGCATTTTTATGAAAAAAAAATAAAAACATGTTTTAATATCGCAAACTTCAATTTTATGTGCAACTTTGCAAGTAACATACATTTGAAGATGATTCGTCGAAATCCCTGTTAATATCTTTCATTAGAAATTCGCATGTTTTAAGATATTATGATTACCAAAATCACATTAATTTTGTGAAATGCATGTAAAAATAAATATTTTAGAAGTGTGACACATTAACTTGATTATTTTGTTGCTTTACAATATATTCCAGTGTTTTGTACACAATAAGGTAAATTCTGGAAAAAAATAATTTACTTTATACGAAACATTGCTTATATGAAACATGGTTTGCTTTTATTTTATAAAACATTGTTTCTTTCATTTCTCGCTTTGTTAGTCAAATATTTCAGATTCTGTAATACGTAATTCTACAATAACGCTCTTTCCAAAGTTAACTTTCGGTATATTTCAGCTCTTGTTCTCTACCTGTAGCCTTTTTGAATCTCAGCCCTTAATTTCGGTCTTTGAAATGTACGTTACTACAATTGAAATGTACGTTACTTGTTGTTGATGTTAATATAAGTGAGAAATCGTTGTTTTGTAGACCTTTATATTTCATACACAATGCACATTTGAGTGTGCAGATGCTAGAGAAAAGATTAAAAATGTTCAATATCATCACAACTGTTCAACTTAAACAATCACATATTGTACTAGTCCCAACTTTTGTAGATAGAAAAAAAATGCATGAATAAAATTCATATGCAACTGATGCAAATACAGTTATATTTAATTTGTTTTCGTTTCTAATCATCCTATTCTTACTTGTTATTACATGAAAAACATATTCATGAAGTAACTTTTAAGAATTCGGGAGATACTCTTCATTGAAATTACTAATACTAGTTTTGAAATGTACGTTACCAACAGTAACGTACATTTCATGATACTTTTAAGCAGAAATATACTTTCAACTACTACCTTTTGTTTACATTGCGAAAAAACATGCTATCACATCTCAAAATCCAGCAGAATGTTTTCAGTAGATATATGTTTATATACATAAAATGTTTTCTAATATATTATTGTGATATCGTATATCAAACATGAATTTACCTTAAATTATATCCACAGTGACACAATGCAATATTTATTTATGCTTTGATGTTACAAAACTCTTCTCTCCATATAAATTTTCTTACCTAAGGTATCATATTTTAAGTGTAGTGAATATTTTTTAAATTGCGGTAACGTTCGTTTCGGTAACGTACATTTCTGACCACTTTTCAATGCAGATCTGGACACAGTCTTGAGCAATTATAACAATTTCTCAACACATAACTTCTTATAGAGGGAAGCTTTAACTGCTTGACACAAGTCTACCTCTTTACATTTTCATCAGTTCCTGTAGCATCAGTAACGTACGTTTCGCAGCAAAAATTACGTTTTAATTTTCTCAGAAAAAGCATCCATCAATTACGGCATCTTTATATACCACTTTTATAATACATTATTTTGGCCAATATGGCCAATTATCTGCCAAAAAACTTCAAACTTTGAAAAGATCTTATTATTTAAAAAATATTTTCTTCACTGTTTAAAAACGCACACTCCAAAAGGCATGTATCAGTGGAAAGGAAGAAACAACAATTTTGTTTACATTTTTATCATAGTTTTCAGTATGTTCCACTGTTAAATTCACGCTAAGGCATTGTGAGATACAAAAAACACCAAACAATTGTTTTATAAAAGACCAATTGAAACATGAAAAGATTTAAAGTTCATTTTTCATATAGAGACAGTCACGTACGTTTCATTTTTTACTATTGTGCGATAAATATTTTTTCAAATCATGACAGTTGACCACTTTTTTGTTTTGATTTAATTAAAACAGAACATGTTTGATGGAACAGATGCTTTAGACAAAATATATAGCACATAATAAGACGAATATGCTGCGTGGAAAGCGTTTTTATATATTCTGTAAATGATATTGAGAATGCGTGTTTCATCTGTTCAGCAATTAACATGACATTGTTCGTTTGTTTTAGAAACCTCAACAACAATTCTAGGAATGTCAGCAGGTGGTTTAGCCGGGGTGATATTAGCAACTATCATAGTTATTTTACTGGTTGTCTTGATAGCACTGTACTGGCGCCGCAACACAACGATGGGTCGACAATTGAAGTTTGGGCTGGAAAATAATGACGGCTTTGAAAACAAGACTTACAGATACGATACTAACTCGGAACAAGTGACTGAAACAAGAGATGGGTTAAGTTTACGAACAATGAGTGAATCCAGTAGTTAAAGTGCTTATTTTGTTTTTATTTTGTCTGTATGCATATTGTATCACTTAAGTTGATATGAATTAGTGTTAATACTCATTTATAGCCAATTATAGGTTGGGCTATTCTGTTGCATTTGATGTATTTTTGGTCTTAGGAATGTTGAGTTGTTTTGTTAAGCGTTTCATTTTTTACAAAAAATGTACAATGCAATATTTATGCTGAATATTTCTTGAAATAAATAGCTTTATTTTTTACAGGAGTTTATTTTACAGGGAAAACATTTATTCTCAAGATATCTACAATAACTTATTTTGTATTGAAATTATTTGTCAAAAAGTGAAGTTTACATAGGAAATGATTGAGAATCAATAAATATATGTAAATTTGCAATATATAATATGCAATGTTTTTGTTGTTGTTTTTTTTTTTTAAATATTATAAAATGCAATATTGTTTTTAAAAGTCGGTTTATTTGAGTTGAGTGTATTTTACAATGCAGTTCTCTCATTGTTTCCCGTTTTTTAATACAAGTCATTTTATAGCAAAATATATCCCAGATTCAAATATATGTTAAACCACGGATTTATATTACAGTGTAATATAAATCCGTGGTTAAACACGTAAAATTGACATTTTCTAGTGCAGGATAATCTGCATTTTTACATCCTGTTTACACCCCTGGGAAGACAGGTCGCGTGCTTTACATGACGTCATACCTGCGCGCCTTTTATGAATGAACTGCATTCTTAAAATGACATTTTTGCCGTTATCACGTTGTTAATGCATATGTTACTGTAAGAAAAAGATCTAAATGAAAATGTTAAGTTTTCATAATTTATTTTCGAAAAATAATAAACATGTAATATGCAAGAAAAATAATCAAACACCGGTTGTCGTCACACACATACAGGAATACATGTATCTAGCTTTAGGGTAACTATTTAGCGGAATATCAGCAGAGCCTTGTTACCGCCTCGAGCTAGATATTCCAGTGTGTACCGGTAGCCGGTGTTAGATCCTTATAATATACAATAAGATATTTGACACGAAAATGCAAATGAGCATATATAATAATGAATAAACTTACTGTTGACACTAGTTTAATAGCTATTTTTTATGAATATTGATGAAATAGAGGAATTGGTCTGTTTCAAAATAATGTTAAATTTATTCAAGAATTTTTTTTGTATTATGTATACGTTATAAATGTATAATGTACAGATTAAATAAAGATAAGTAAACAGTGTTGTATTATTTAGAATTTCATTTAAAATTTGACAGGAAAAATGTAATTATATCCTGCTAAAAGGAAGTAATATGACTGTACTGTATTGTCGTCTGCCAGCATGACCTTATCAGTTGATCATTCCTAGGAATGGAAATCCGATTAACAAAATGTTGCACAGCAAGAGTTTTTTTTTTACAGATTCCTTACAATACACCAGCGCAGGGCTCTAGCTAGAGCAACATTTGTAAAAGACGGATGTTGTACTATCTACACATTAAAACTGCGCATCATAAGCCATGCACATAACGTATTTGAGAAATTATACGGCCATCGTGTTTTGTTTAGCAGTATTATATATGGAGCTTACATTTAGTTGTAAGCTGTATGCCTCCATCTTTATATCATTTAAAACCTTGAAAACATTTCGACTGTTTCAAAGTTTCTGATAAATGACTGCTGAATTTTTTTTTATACAGCTCTACATGTATATCTGCTGCAAAAATCATTGTCTGAATTAAAAAAATAATACAAATGTACGTCTAAAATGCTTGTGTGAAATAAAAAAGGTAGTTAATGAAATTGCCTAAAAGTGAATGGCGCATGATCGGAATCATTCTCAACGGATAAAACCCTTCTCAAAATAGCAGAATCATATTTTGATTCTGTTTACTTAGATATACAATAATTATGTGTGTTAAATGACAGAGACATTCTATTTCTCTTTTCTTCGTTCTAGCTTAATAAGTGTCCATCTGTCCTTTCAAGCACTGCGAGTACGGACCCCGGAAATGTCACCATTTATGTCCTTAAATGTTATTTTT